ATACAAGACAAGTATTTCTATGTGTGTCAACTCTAAAACCAGGCTTATGTGCCGACAGTGTATCTTGAAATCAGGCTTCTATTCAAAACAGGCTTCTATATGAGACAGGCTTTAATAACAAGACACTACGATAAATGTAGATGTCCCAGAAACCAAAAACATTTTAGAATGCCGTATCAAGTTTTCAAGATGTTGTTCAAGAGCCTGAAGTGTGTCCTTCTTCCTAGTATTAATGCTGTACCCGTGTGCAGTATCGTGTATTGTGAATCATGCCTCGTTCGGGGTTCGAAACTGACAAAGCGGTCAAGTGGAAAACAGCAAAAAAATAATGACGATATCGTTCAAAATGGGAAAAAAGAGCAGAAATATATTTCAACCGCAGTGAACAGGATTCGAACCTGTGCGGGCAGAGCCCAATTGATTTCTAGTCAATCGCCTTAACCACTCGGCCACCACTGCTTGGATGCTTCACACTTGCCAGAACCACTACCAGAACATGAGAGAGGATGCTGAAACCATATAGAGCGAGTGGTCTGTTTTCACAGCCATTTTAGCTTATTTTCTCTGTTTCTGTTTCTCTGTTGCACTTGTGTTTATTTTGCCAGTACAAGAGGCTTGGTCCATGGCAAAAATAAATAAAAAATAGAGTGAGTGGTCTCACATCTTTGTCATGTGACTAAATTTGTGTAGAAAAAGATCATAGGTAGGGGTGAAACGAGTATCTATTTTGACCAACCGATCACTCATTCATAATATTCGATCGAGTATCCGATTATTTCGAGTATTTTATCGAAATTCAAAAGCGCTAGATTTGTGAGTTCTCGACCAATTCGGAAGAAATTATCTGTGAACATAGAACAAAAGTCGCCAACGTCTTGTACAGAGTGTAAAGTAACGATTTTCATCAATACTTTCATATCTCAAAACAAAATAACGTTACTTGCCGTGGTGATCGCATCGTCCAAGTCATAAAATACTGACTCAAAGGCACGAATAATGCGTGCATACTAGTCGATGAGCAGTACAACAGGAGTTTTTGAAAAATAGAATGCCAGTACTAAAAAAAAAAAAAAAAAAAACGATCGAGTGCAAAATTTCGAATACTCGCTCGTTTGAGATTTTCGAACGAATACTCGAATATTCGAACTAATCGTTTCACCCCTAATCATAGGGCATTCAGACAGTGGATCCAACAGGGCCGACACTATGTGACCTGTAGATGCAAGGGGTTGAGTGGAGTTGGAACCAACATGGCTGTCCTGTATGGTCATGTGATAGACGCAAAACCACTACAGTTATAGAGAGGTCAAAGGGTAATGGGAAAGTTGGTTGCTCTCCACACCGGAGCTCACGCTTTTCCGCCGACCTGACTTGACACTTGACTGACTCACGACTGCCATCGATGTATCGGGAGCACCGGAAAATTAAGGGAGATGGGCAAAAAATTTCAATTTCAATCGCACTGAACAGGATTTAAAACCTGTGCGGGCAGAGCCAACAGAGCCCACTCGGCCACCATTCCTCGAATGTGTTGGAACGATTAGCACCTTGGCCGAATACGGGAATGGCATCAGAAACTCAGCCCTGGACCGTCGTGTCCAACCGCCGCCGCATTGGCTTTGCTTTCACCATCAGGAGTTAATAGAGAGGTTGCGCACAACGAAAATTCGTTAGATTTCGACCGTCCGGGTTCGAGTAACGAAAGTTGCTCCGAAGATCCGTGCAAACGTGACCGAAACAGAGCAGATCTACGAAAATATTTTTCGTTACCTGGAGTACTAAAATACTGATAAATTACAACTCCATGTCTGGACTCTTCGTACCCGCGCGGCCTCCGCGTCGACCCACTACGACAACGTTCACGCGTTGTGCGCAACCTCACGGTTTACGAATATTCGTTAGCTTTTTTCGTTAAAAATATTCGTTACGAGCTACAAATTTTCGTTGTGCGCAACCTCTCTAGTGTTTGTGCAGTCATCAGAACGGAAGAGCAACACTAGATCTACTCAAGTAGAGCTAATGCAGGGGCGTCGCACACGCTACGATCACTACGGTATTGACCGCACCACTCTTTGCCCCAGCTACTACCCCGTGAATCAAGGAAATGCACTGATCTGGGCTCTACATTTCGAAAATTTCCAGAGAAGCCACCCCAACCCTGCGAGTAAATTGTACTTCAGGTGGATGACCGTACCACACTAAAAATACCTTCCGATGCCCCTGTAGCGGGTTCACAAATCGACTCAAGTGTTTGCCAAACGTTGCACCACAAGATCAATCAACTCTGCTGACTGCCAGCCAATATAACTACTAACTACGCAACACGAGCATGAGATATTCTATCAGAAATTCGTGATTTTCGTTTTCCGGCATCGAAAGTGTGGTTATCGATTTTTTATGTGGAGAGGGCCGAAGTAGAATTGAAACTATAAATGGTCAAAAAGGACCGAAAAAGAGCACAAAAACAAATTTCAATCGCAGTGAACAGGATTCGAACCTGTGCGGGCAGAGCCCAATTGATTTCTAGTCAATCACCTCAACGAAATATGCAATGAGTGTATGCCAAACCGGTCAAAATGGGAAAAAGGACAAAAAGAGACATTCAATCGCAGTGAACAGGATTCGAACCTGTGCGGGCAGAGCCCAATTGATTTCTAGTCAATCGCCTTAACCACTCGGCCACCACTGCTTGGATGCTTCAGAACAAGCACCTCAACGAAATATGCGATGAGTGTATGCCAAACCGGTCAAAATGGGAAAAGGACAAAAAAAGACATTCAATCGCAGTGAACAGGATTCGAACCTGTGCGGGCAGAGCCCAATTGATTTCTAGTCAATCGCCTTAACCACTCGGCCACCACTGCCTGGATGCTTCAGAACAAGCACCTCAACGAAATATGCGATGAGTGTATGCCAAACCGGTCAAAATGGGAAAAGGACAAAAAGAGACATTCAATCGCAGTGAACAGGATTCGAACCTGTGCGGGCAGAGCCCAATTGATTTCGAGTCAATCGCCTTAACCACTCGGCCACCACTGCTTGGATGCTTCAGAACAAGCACCTCAACGAAATATGCGATGAGTATGCCAAACCGGTCAAAATGGGAAAAGGACAAAAAAAGACATTCAATCGCAGTGAACAGGATTCGAACCTGTGCGGGCAGAGCCCAATTGATTTCTAGTCAATCGCCTTAACCACTCGGCCACCACTGCTTGGACATTAAGCATGAAGATGAACACGAGCCTCAAGCACATACGGTGGAATGCTTGCTCACTTTGCGAGAAGAGAAAAAACGCGAATACTGTAACCATCGTGAAATACAACTTCACCGGTGGGTGTATATGTGCGGCCACAGTGCTCCGCGAACATTTCCCATCGTAAACTCGCTGGTTCTGAGAGATCGCAATATGCTAGTGACGCGAATATTGGGCGATTTACAGTACATGTGGGTGCAACTTAAATTTGTTCAGGATGCGAGTAGAGTCAGTGGAAAGTCACTTTCCGCATCTCATACTGTGGAAGAGGCGCGAGGAGACTGAAAGGAGAGCGGAATAGAGAGGAGAGCAGAATAGAGGTCTCTATTCGGTACTATTTACCCAAGCTGGCTACGGTGCTTTGGTGTGATTTCGAGAAGCAGCCGGAGCAGCCGGAGCAGCAGCCACAGGCGCTGAATAGCATGGGACCATGATCCTGAGTCGTTTGCACACGCGACTATTGACTGTTTTCCATTCGAACGTGTTGCGTTCCTGTGTTTCCTTTCTGTTCTCACATTTTGTTGAGCTTGACTAAAGATAATTATTGTGTCAAGCAGCAGCAGCAGAAATAGCAGCAGTACCATCAGCAGCAGCAGCAGCAGGAACAACAGTGGCCGGTACTTACTTGGAGACTCCCCGGCAAATCTGGCATCCACTTGAGCAAGAGAACAACAGGTGCAACGTTGCGCAGGACTAGAGGACCGGAGACGTCCGTTAGACCCCGCTCCGCTGCCTGCACTCAACACACGCACACGCGCACACGCACACGCACACACACACACACCTCACACACACACACACACACACACACACACACACACACACACACACACACACACACACACACACACACACACACACACACACACACACACACACACACACACACACACACACACACACAAGCACGCACACACACACAAGCACGCACGAACGCATGGACGCAAGCATACACACACACATGTGCAATACACAAATATTAGGGGATCAGGGATGATTCCCATGTTATTAGAACTTCATGCTAGAAAAAAAGGGGTCCAGTATGAGAGCTGTACGGGAATGCCAGTCTGGCCTATCTATCTTTCTTCCTATCCAAAATTTTATAGTTATACAGCAATAAGACAATCCTGGTGGCTCACATCCACAACCTAGGCTGGGCAGCAGCTGTAAATGTACAGTCAACTTGGCTAATAACGACTGCGGATATAATGACAAATCGCGAATATCGACAGGATTTCCATGCCCAGAGCAAAGTCCATTCTACCTGTAACACATATAATGAAACTTCGGGTATAACGACACTTCGCGAATAAGGACACTTTTCTGATGCCCCGTCGGGCCGTCGAGTGTCGCTATACGCAAAGTTGACTGTATGTGTGTTGTGTGTTGCAGCTGTGTCCCGCTGGTGTGTGTCCGGCATGCAACCACGACGGATACACAGTACAGTGTCTACAACTGCATGGGTGCTGCGTCGGCGAGAGCAAGAGGTGAGGCTCCGTGAGAAGAGCGGAGACAGTAGGAGACCAGCAAGGGGCCGCAGCACCCACCGCGCCACTCAGCGAATCATCAGCGTCTGCTCCAGAGCCGGGTCAGCCGGGCCAGCGACCCGGTTGGGGGGGGGGGGGGGGGGTACTTGGACCCGTTTGAAAAAAGAACACCGAGGTCACTTGCGAGCCGGCTGGGAGTATACATGATAGCAAGAATACAAAACCGGGGGATTACCAGTATGTGCTCTTGATGCTAGTCATGTCGAGTACCTTTTCTCTACTTCAAGGGGTACGATGATAGTCATGTCGAGTACCTTTTCTCTACTTCAAGGGGGTACATACACACAGTGATGGGCTGAAGGCATTTACCCGACTATGACCTGGTTGCAAGACTTGTGCCAGCTACTGTACTGTAAGTCAATGAATATTCGGCGAATATTCATTTTCGGCTATTTTCGGCCTGGTCATGTTTGGCCGAAAATTTGTTGCGGCCGGAATTTTGTTTTGCAAGGTTCAGTGTGACAGTGTATACAGGCGGTAGCAGTAGAGGGCGAACATTTGATGCAGCCGAAATGAGTTTTAGCCCTGGGAGGCCGAAATTTGAATGGGCCGACAATTTGTAGACCGACAGACTGACAGTACAGGTGTACCTGGTTGGTTTGAGGTCCTAGAGCAGACACTGCAACCATCTCTACAAGGGAACACCAGAAACTGCTAGTAAAGAGTTACGGGAGCAACTCTCGAGACATGTCCTGGGTGGTAGTGGAGATAGTCCACTCACTGTCTTGCAGTGCATGGTTCAGGAAAATAGACGCCGCAAACGGTTCCCGCTATGGCCCTTGAAATTTGGCTATTTTAGTGATGCAATTTAGTGATACAGTGGAGATTGCTCCTTCGGGAGAGAATAAAACGCCACTATAATCGATCTGTCACTAAACTCGATCTTCGCAAAGCATTTACTAAACGTCTTGGGCAACAGAATTGTGTCGCTCAACTCAATCTGTCATTTATATATGCAAGGCCGATATATGCGATCTCCACTACCGTATTTCCGCAAATAAAAGGCCGTCCTCGTATACAACGCCTTCCTCGTATACAAGGCCGGGGCAGGGGGCGATTGAAAAAATAAAAGACCGTCTCCGATTAGAAGACCGGGCCTACTAAATGAGTCTTTGTTCTTGTGTTAAAAATAGAAGACCGTGCTCAAACTGTGGGAAAAAATAGAAGACCGTGCTCAAACTGTGTAGAAGAAAATGGAAGAACGGGGGTAAAACTGTGTGGCGAGAAATAGAAGACCGGGGGGTCAAACTGGGTTGAAAGAATAAAAGACCGTCCTCGAATACAAGACCGTCCTCGATTATAAGGTCGGGTTAGGACGAGGTTGAAAAAATAGTAGACCGGCCTACTATTTGTGGAAATACGGTATATTGGGGGACCACACGACTTCTGAGCTTACCATTTCAATAATCGGCTGTAGCAAGGCACGGCATGGAGGACAGGTGGATTTCAGATGGTGCATTAGCAGGTCGTAACCGAACTTCTCAGCAAACGCTTCCTGAGGCACCACCAGCAGCAGCAGCAACAGAAGAAGAAGCAGCAGCAGCAGCAACAGCAGCAGCGACAACAACAACGACGACGAAAACAGCAATCTCTTATTGGCGATGCCATCGTGAGAATAAAGAATTCAAACAGCAATTACAACATTGCTGACGACGCCAGACAGCAACGCCATACACACAATAGAAACAGCATGCTGTAAAGACAATCCTACGCAGGGGGGGGGGGTCGGAGGGGGGGGGGGGGGGGGGTCGGAGGGGGGGGGGGGGGTCGGAAGGTAATTTAGTGTGGTATAGTCAGCCATCTGAAGTACAATTTACTCGCTGGGGGAGGGATGACAATTTAGAGCCCAAATCAGTGCATTTTATTGACTCACAGGGTACTTGGGGCAAATAGTGGTGCGGTCAATACCGTAGTGACCGATGACCGTACCGTGTCCGACACCCCTGCTACGAAACAGGGGAAGACATTTCTCCATTGCAGAGAGGATGCTCTCTTGGTCATGATCTGTACTGGTTGCTTTATGGCCCTCCCTTGGGGGAAACCCTTTCAAACATGGATTCACCTGCAGCTCAGTGAGTCATTACATTTATGACTCACTAGTCTGGTGCATATCATATCTTCCCCGGATAGCAGCTGCTCTTATGTTATAAGCTACACTCTCATGTTCAGGTCTCTGGAATATTGCTTCAATACATTGTACACGTATTCAACCCCCTCCCATGCCGGTAGGTCTATTTCCACCCTGGCCCATCATTTTGATTCACAGTAAAGAGACAGTTATTGGGGAGTTGGAGCGAGGTTTCATAAATGTGCAAGTGGCTGCGTCGGAGTTCGCAGACAATAAGAAAACACACTATTCTTTATAGCAAGTCAACTCGAGTGTACGCAGCCCTGCTGATGAGTGGCAGGGAACATACAGTCAACTTCGCTACTAACGACTGCGGATATAACGACAATTCGCAAATAACGACAGAATTTCCATGCCCAGAGCAAAGTCCCATCCAACTGTAATACATAATTATAGTGAGACTTCGGGTATAAGGACACTTTGCGAATAAGGACACTTTTCTGATGCCCCGCCGAGTGTCGGTATACGCAAAGTTGACTGTACTTACTTTAGCTGCAGGTGAACCGGCCATGACCGAAGCCAATGCCAGCACCAGACTGCGACAGAATGCCACACGCACTGCCTTCTCACCCAACTGATAGCCCTGCAGGACAATCCAACGTCGAGCGGGCGGGCACAACGACATGAACACATACATACACACAAACATATATGCAAGCATGCATGCACATACACACATACACACACATACACACACAAACACACACACACACATACACACGCGCACACATACACACACACACACACACACACACACACACACACACACATACACACAAACACGAATGCACACACACACACACAAACACGAATGCACACACACACACACAAACACGAATGCACACACACACACACATGCACACACATGCACACACACGCCCACATGCACACACACACACACACACATGAACACACGCACACCCAGCCAGACAAACATGAGGGGTACTAGATCATCGTATCGTTATGCACACGCAGGAAACTCGCTAGAGGCTAGCCGATGTCCATTACTCTGCTGTTCTTGTGCATCAGCATTTTGGCGTGGCGTAAGCTTCATCCTGCTATGCCAGACCAACCGGGGGGGGGGGGGGAAACAAAATCATCCTGTCGCAGCATGTCAACTGTCAAGACCAGAGCAGATTTGTACAAGTACACACCGAGTATGAATCAGACCAGAACGAAACACACGTACACTCTCCGGAGGGCCATGTTCACAAGCTAAGGTGGTTCAACATTTTTGAGCCACGTGTTACGTGCGAGTCTCAACAGCCAGAGTAATCTCTTAATGGCCACAGGCCATCGTGAGAATAAAGATTTGAAACACGGTGTGATGTACCTGATACGTGAAGAGCAGTGACAGCTCCTTGAAGAAACCCACGCTAGAGAAAATGGCCTGTAATAAGCAGGTATACGCGAAAGTATACGCAGACGTGTGCACATACACACACGCACACGCACACACATGCACATACACACACATACACACCAAAAATACAAACACACACACACACACACACAAACGCACACGCACGCGCACACACACACACACACGCACCAAAAAACACAAACACAAACACACGCACACACACACACGCACATAAACTGCGTCTGAGTAAACAGAAAGTGCGGCATTCACAAAGTCGCCGAGAGACAAGAGCTCGTCCAAAAGAACTCATGTTGAACGGCAGATTCTTAGTACAAAGTCTGCAAGCCTAAGCAATGGGACCCTTTGCTCATATGACCAAGCTTATATGTATGTATACACGAAGCCAGTAGTCTATTGCTGCCCCCTCCTGCTCCTGCCCTCCCCCCCCCCCCCCCCCTCCACCTCTCCAACCAACCAAATACTAGTACACATACCATATCTAGCAAATCCCCCCCGGAATAGTTCAGCCGCTTTGGTGCCAGAGGAAATATTTGACAGGGAAAATTTTTAAGGACGCCTCACACAGCTTCATTATGCAACTTTCAAAATCAAAAGTAAAAAACTTCTAAAGCAATCGGTGGAGTATGGTTTATTGGAGCATTGTATAATCGCGACAAGGATATATTCAGAAAGGGGTTGAAACGTGGAAATACGGCACACATGCAAGTAGAGGCAGGGAAGGGAGGCATCACATACCTGCAGTGCTGCTGCATCTTGGCAGGCCAAGATGTTTGGCACACATTCTGTAGAGAGATACACATGAGCGCACATGCAAGAATGCACACAGACACACGCACACACACACACACACACACGCACGCACACACACACGCACAATAAAACAAAAATAACAACGAATAAAGCAAGGGGTCGTCGCAAACGTGTTCTGTCGTCCCTGAAAAGAACATCGTTCATTCCGTACTCGGACACCCTCCCCTCAATCTGAAACGAGCACAGCTTGCTATGCTGGAAGACAAAATCGCGTGCATGTACATGTATAATGTACAGTGCCGGTAGACTTATGATTTTGGCTCGCATCCGCATAAGTTGACCCATAGTAAGCCTGAGAATTTGTTTACTTGTTATTTTCTGTGTAACTTAAATTTCGGTGATTTCGGTAGAGAAGACAGGCACCTAAAATAAAATTACACCTAAAAGGCACTAGAGTATGTACTGTATGTGAAGGGAAAGCTGGTCACCTAGTTCTACATTACATCTGAAACCTCTCTCCCTGCTGATATCCGCGCTTGCGACGTACGCCACACGTTTCAAGCATTGCTGTCTGGCTATGACCTTATCTCCCTCCTCAACTAGCTCTCCGATGTTGTGCCTACTATGTCTTCTTCACAGATTCTGCCTGAACAGATGCTCATCAATTATGTTCTTGTCCACTATCCTAGTCCAAATCCTGCCTTGCCCATGCATGACTCTCATGAAATGCCCGTACTAAATAGTCTATAGAACAAGAATATAGGATATCATACTTCTCTCATCAACTATGATAATACCCATTTCATACCCCCCCCCCCCTTCATAAAATTAATACCTACTGTTTTCTTTCCTTTCCTTTCATCTTCTTTTCCGTTCCTTTCTTCTTCATACACATTTAAAACATTTTCATCATATTGTGAGAGCCGTGGGCCAATAGCCCCGGTGAGAAGGCAGTCTTGCCTGTTCATATGGTGAAGTAAAATAAAGAAACAACAACAACAACCTGGCAGGTCCCTGGCACCGGAATTTTGATGCACCGAAAAATTTCACGTTTTACGGTACTCAATCTCCGGACAGCATGCTGTTTCGACATTATTAGGTCTCCTCAGCGGAGCTCAAAGTTACTGGCCCAACCTATCGCAATGAAGACTACCGAACAACAAAGCATTTTCAAACCGGCTCGAAGCGCTGGAGTCAGAGAGCTCTGTGCTAAACAGAGCAAGCTTTGGCCGAGGGAAAATAACTTTAACGCTAGCCAGAAAAGAGTGCTCAACCACGCTGAGGCGAGGAAGAACATGTTGTAAAAGTGTCATTGTTCAAAGGAGTGGAATTGTAACTTGGCCTTGGCTCTCCACCGGAGTCTAATAGCAACTCTACTTCACAATCGCCCCACTCTGTACATGGCTGGACAAACATTAGGAACTTACCAAGCAAGGAAGTCTGCAGACGCATTCGGTGGGCTTCGCCAAGTGAAAGAGCTCTACACAAACAACAATGACAACCACAACAACAACAACAACAACAACAACAACAACAACAACAACAACAACAACAACAACAACAACAACAACAACAACAACAACAACAACAACAACAACAACAACAACAACAACAACAACAACAACAACAACAACAACAGTAGCAGCAGCAGCAGCATCACGGAATTAGCTATTGTGATCATAGCAGCAAGATTGCCTGAGAAGACATGGCACTTTTAGTTTGGCAGGAACGGACCCTACCCTTCTTCCAACTTGTCGTGTCTCCCATGATTACATGTCTTAGTATTTGGCAAACCACTGATGAATTAGCAGACTGCGAACAAACAAAGAAAAAGCTGCAGAGTTCCCAGTATATGTACATAGTTCCTACGCTTTCATTCTGACGGCTGTGAGCATTGAACACTCTATCCCATTGGAAGACACCGTCAAAACTCGGATTTTTAAGTTAGCGGTACTTTACTAAATTAGTATCCGTGAGCCTGCCGCTGCCGATACGTCACACAACCATGTCCGCCGAACTGCGCGTGTGTGTGTGTATGTGTGCGTGCATGTGTGTGAGTGTGCACGTGCGTGAGTGTGTATGTGTGTGTGTGTGTGCAGCATACCGGTATGAAGAGCACACTGTAATGTAATGTTGATCATGCATAGAGGATGGCCATCGGCAGTACTTACCGTGTAGTCAGTACAGCTAGCAATGAGCTGAGTAGGACAGAGACATCAACTTGACGCTGCTCACACATAGACACAGAGAGAGAGAGGAGAGAGAGAGAGAAGGAGAGAGAGAGAGAGAGAGAGAGAGACAGAGAGAGACAGAGAGAGAGAGAGAGAGAGAGAGAGAGAGAGAGAGAGAGAGAGAGAGAGAGAGAGAGAGAGAGAGAGAGAGAGAGAGAGAGAGAGAGAGAGAGAGAGAGAGAGAGAGAGAGAGAGAGAGAGAGAGAGAGAGAGAGAGAGAGAGAGAGAGAGAGAGAGAGAGAGAGAGAGAGTTATGTATCACCAGGGAGTTGTACTCAAATCAGGTTCGAATATAACCCTGTGAACCAGCACAGGGTGTGGACGGTGCGTTTTTGATTGCTTCGGCCATAAACTGAGCCTTTCATATTTCAAGTATGATACGGAGGGTATACTACGGTATACACATGACCTCCTGAGCAGTAAACACACATGTTGGTGGCCTAAAGGTTTGTCCGGCCATGGCCTGACCAACCAGACCGGTTCCACCGGGCCTGTGTAGCCAGTGACTAGCCACACAGTATAGAAGTAAAGAGTAGGGCTGAGTTGGGTAGCATTTTCTTCGGGTATCGAGGAGTTTTCCACGGGTAGCACGGGTACCCGATCGGTTAGTGTTTCCATGGTAACACCACAATGCACCCCTTCCCATACCCGGGCACTGGGTAGACGTGCGGAGTATTACATGAATTTGTATACGTGCACTGTACATGATGTCATCTGCGACTTCGGGTTTTCGGGTACTATTCTGCACCCGTCTATACACGTGCATTGTACACGATGTCATCTGCGACTTCGGGTTTTCGGGTACTATTCTGTACCCGTCTACCCGAGGTCCTCACAGGTAGCACGGGTACTCGACTACCCGTGCACACCACTAGTAAAAAGTTTTAAAAAAAGAGATGTGAAACCTCTCTATAGAGTACTATGTAGTGTAGAGCATTACCCACCTGGTCAGGACTAGCGGCATGTATCACGTGAACACACTTGACAAAGCATTGCCGTGCCATCAGATGAACATCCAGACTACGACTCTGCAAGGACGGCGGCGCCGGCGGGGGCACCACCGGTGCTGCGGCTGCTGGGAACGGCTGCGAAACACTAGCGTCTGGTGATTGGCCAGACGTTCCCATGGCGACCGCTGCTGCCGCCGCTGCCCCCGCGGCAGCTGAAGTGGCTGGCGCGGCTGAAACCAACGATGCAACGGCTGCAGGGGCTGCTGCAAACGCCGACATCATCGCCCCCGGAGCTGCTATGAATGCGGCCGCAGCCGTTGCGGCCGCCGCGGGGGCTGCTACCACGGCAACTGCAGCCACGGCAACCGTTGCCGCGGCCATTGTGGCTGCCGACGGCGATGAGGACTCTGCCGCCGCTGCTGGCGTAGAGGCGTTGGGGGGTGCGGCGGCGATGGGCAGTGCCAGGACGCTGGCAATCGTGTCAGCCAGCGGCGGGCTGATGGCGATAGTGGCATTCTCCTGCAGAACACACACACACACACACGTGCACACACACACACGTGCACACACACACGCACGCACACACACACACACACACACACACACACAGAACACACAGAACACACAGAACACACACACACACACACACAGAGAACACAGAACACACACAGAACACAATGTGCTGGAAAACTGGAAAATTTCGGTGGAGAATTATTTTCAGCAACTACGGTACAGGTATTTTTACCTAAAATAAAACGCGACCTAAAATTCAACAATGCATTTTCGGATCTGGAAAACTGGTTTATCGAAATTTTCGCACTGCTGAACCGTAGATTTTTAGGAAAACCGAAAATATTACACCACCGAGAATTGCCGGTTTTACAGTACAGTAAAACCTGTCAAGGCGACCACTCGGATAAGGCGACCACTCGGATAAGGCGACCACTCGGATAAGGCGACCACTCGGATAAGACGACCAATGGCGATAGCATCTAGGAAGGATCGCCACCCTGACATGAAGGAAAGGCCTTGTCGCGGCTTCTCTACAAGTGTTGAAGAAAGAAACGAAATTGTTAAATAGTTTCGCTATTTGCTGGACGAACCGGCAACTTGTCGGTAGTCCAGAGCAAGCTCGAGTACGCCAGCACTGTCTAAGTACACCGTCTCGCTGACAACGTGAGAGACCAGCTGCTGCTGCTGCTGCTGCTGCGCATAACCGGAGCAAGCCGCACTAGAGCAGCAGCTGGCACATCTATGGTGTTTCACGTCGACCATGACGGCTACAATGGCCAACCAGACCACAACGAAGTTGGGGCCAAAGGGAAAGTTTCTTTCTTTCCGTCAAAATGATGGACAACGACCATTTTTAACAGAGACACACAGAGAGACACAGAGAGAGAGACACACACACACACAGAGGCACAGACAGGCACAAACAGACAGACGGACGGACGGACAGACAGACAGACAGGCAGACAGACAGACAGAGCAGACAGAGAACCCGAGACTCGACACCGTTCCCGCTGTCAATATCGCCGTACACACATCCCACCCTACCTGTGAAGCATACAATGCGGCACCCAGAAAGTGTATGAACACTGTCAAGAACTCCAACTGGTGTGCTGACGGCAAACCATCATCTTCCTCTCCACCATCACCACCACCCGTAGCAGTAGCGTTTTCAGCATTGTCCGTTGCATCGTCAGTGGCAGTAGTAGCCACACTTGAAGCACCAATGCCTGGACAGCCGGGGCAGAACTTGCGCAGTCCCTCTACACGAAAACAAGAAGTTAGAGAGCGTTGTATTAAGAACTCTGATGGTGAGCCAAGTAAAAAATTGTAACATGGAAAAAATGTGGGCAAAAATTATGCAATCTTTGGAATTAGCACTAATATCCACGAACCTTCCAAGTTGGAAGGCCGTTTCACACACACACGCACGCACTCTCTCTCTCTCTCTCTCTCTCTCTCTCTCTCTCTCTCTCTCTCACCTGTCAGGAAGGACGATGCAGCCGGCGTGAAGGAGCAAGACGTGGCATCCCTGGACCTGCGCACACTGCACATGTTGACATGGAAACACACAAGCAACACGTGTTGACATGGAAACACACAAGCAACATGTGTTGACATGGAAACATACAAGCAACACGTGTTGACATGGAAACACACAAGCAACACATGTTGACATGGAAACACACAAGCAACACGTGTTGACATGGAAAAACACAAGCAACAAGAAATGAAAATCTTGCCATGGCGCGTACTCGTATAATGCAATCAAGTAAACTCGATGGAACGGGCCTTGAAAACGTCCTTATAAATACAGTCAGACCTCGCTTATCCGGTCCTCGTTTATCCGGATCCCTCGCCATCCGGAAGAAATTCGCTCGTTACCGATGTGCAGCATATGTTATGCATACAACATAACCGGACCTCGCGATAAGCATACCAGTGCATGACAAACTGGTTAAAATGTGTACAAAAAGCTTCGTCGTATCCAGTTGCATGTGGCTTGCAGAAGCTAGAATCAGGGAGTTGTACAAGCAAACGAGGTCCTTGACCTGCTGGGCGCATGTGGACAGCACTCAGTTGCATTCACTTGTCATTTTTCTGGCTTGTTTTACATACTGTCCACGCTGGTTGTACTGCATAGGACCTGTCTACATGTATGTACGATGTCACTGCTTTGACATGCCATATGCATATACAGTGTGTGTGTTCAGTCAGCCGGTTCCCTCGCCTATCCGGATATTTTTGTGGAAAACAGATGTGTGCAGTTAAGCGAGGTCTGACTGTATGGAGTGAGTGCTGAAAGAAAGACTCTTTCAATGCTAAGATGGCAACCCACGGCAACAACCAAAGCACAGTATGAAACCCGACAACGCAAGTCAAGGGTGCGCCCTGCACCGGTTCACGTTCCAGGGTTAGCAGTTGCCTGGGACTGTACAGCGCCCGGCACCTACTCGACTCACTCAAATCAGATTTCATTGAGCAGCACTGAAGTGCAGGTGCGCTCGGTGAAATCCGACCCAAAGTGCATATTTGGCGCCGTCAGCTTGCTAATGCACGGCAATTGATGCCCTGGAAGTGGCACGAATGCAGCTCGACGTACACATGCACAGCTGCATTCGTGCCACTTCCAGGGCATCAATTGCCGTGCATTAGCAAATACAATGGTGTAATTGGAACTGGTCCAGGGCGGCAGCTTTGCACTTTGGGTTGGATTTCAGTGAGCGCAACTGGAGTACGTTGCGCATAAGAGAAACCAGCATGATTCTGGCCAACCTCAGCGAACCTGAGGTCGGGAGAATGACGCACCGAGGCATGAAAATGTACACAAGTGAGGCATGCGACAAATGCACTTTAGGGTACATATTACAACCCTCGATATCGGGACGGTCCCGGCCGAATCGGGGTGGTTGTCAGGTATGCATAACCAAAGCAAGAATAAAGTGTACCTGCTCTTCAGCTTCCACAACCAATGACAGTTCGGGTCCAGGGTGCAGCGGAAGAACGACACACAACTGCGAACAATGGCCGCGAGCTTCACTTGCCTGCAACGAGGAAAAGTAAACATACGCACACGCACGTGCACACACACACACACGCACACACACACACACACACACACACACACACACACACACACACACACACACACACACACACACATGCAGAACGCTTGAATGCACTCAAAGCTGGAATGCTGGAATGCACTCAGACCATACACATTTCGCAATAGTTAGGCTGGGCACATCCTGCAGTCCATTCATTGGAAACAGTCCTGCTGGCTTCGAAAGTCCGATTTGGGCCGAATTGAGGATCAAAAACCCACTTTAAATCTAAAAAATCTGGGTTTGGGGTCTGCTTCTCCATACATTTTGCCATGGCATACCTGTCCTGATTTTGCAAAACCTGGCTGAACTTCTACCATCTGCGTGGTATGACACACATGAAGCTGTGGATCTATCATCCTACTCCCGCATTGCCACGTTAACATGCTCCTACAGTGGTACCACCCTTTGTAATCCGGCAGCACTGGTGCTAAGGCAATTCTGCTGGATTGGGGAGGGTGCTGGATTGGGGAGGGTGCTGGATTAGGGAGGGTGCTGCATTGGGGAGGGTGCTGGATTAGGGAGGGTGCTGGATTGGGGAGGGTGCTGGATTGGGGAGGGTGCTGGATTGGGGAGGGTGCTGGATTGGGGAGGGTGCTGGATTAACGTATCTGCTGCAAGGTGCATGAAGAGGACATTCTGGTTACAGTACCGAATACAATAATTATTGTGCTGGTTTGAAGAGGGTGGGAGGTGAGTAGATCAGACCCACCACAAAGTGGTCAAAGACCGAAAATCCAAGATCTAAGAGGGTGGTGGCGTTCCTGCGGATGCGGAAAAACGAACCGTGACTTTTTTCTTCTTTTTTTTCCGAAGAGGGTGCTGGTTTATAAAGTGCTGGATTGCAGAAGGATGGCGGTAATACAAACGAGAGAGCTTGGAAGCTCAGGGCCCTACGCTATGCTTTTTTGCCTTGATGACCTAGACAGAAAAGCATAGGGATGTTATTCTTATAAGTTTTACTTTTTGTTTTTAGACATAACCTGGGATTCGAACCCTCACTATCGCCCTGCATGCATCCCCCGATACACTTCGCATACATACTAATTTTTCCAACTTGCTTCACGTTATGATCTTGTATTTGAAAGCCCTATTTGAATATGCATTGTGGCCAGCCGTCTTTGATTGTACGGTACGGTACGGGACAGGTACGGAACAGGTACGGGACAAGTACGGGACATGTACGGTCGAGGGTAATACCGCCTTGATGACGGCAAAAAAAGAAAAGGGATGTTACAAATTTTTCAATTCTCCTATTTTTTCAGGCATTACCTGGGATTCGAACTCGCACTATCGCCCTACTTGCATTCCCCCATACACTTCGCATTCATACTCATTCTTCCAAGTTGCTTCACGTTATGATCTTGCGTTTGAAAGCCCTATTTGAATATTGCGGCCAGCTGTATGTGGCCAGCTGTGTTTGATGGTACGGTACGGTACGGGACAGACACGGCATAGCGCCAGGCGTGACACAAACACACAAACAAACAAACACCAAATTAAAGCTGTGTGGACCCTGGCTAGCGCCAGACATTACTGAAGTAACGTCTTCTGCATAGCTACGGGAACTACGGGAATAAATTCTGGTATGCTGAAATGCAGCTTTGCAACTCAGTCCTTCTGAACTACAGTACTACAGCTGCGCTCGCTGAAATCCGACTCAACGCGCTAAGCTGGCACCCTGTCCCTGGACACGTTCCGATTACATCATTGCATTTGTACATGTGTACGTCCAGCCGCATTCGGTCCGCTGCCACGGCGTCAAGGCCATGCTAGTTGAGGGCACCAAATGTGCACTCTGGGTTGGATTTCACGGAGCGCAACTGTAGAATATCAATCATTTTTAAAGCTAGCTTACCAGAGTTCCTCCGATGGCTCTGTTGTCAGCTACAATGATCCCCGATGAACGAATCAGTACACAGACACGCACACATGCACACGTGTACATGCATACACAGACACACACAGGCACAGGTACAGACGCAGACATACACACACACACACACACACACACACACACACACACACACACACACAGAAAAAGACCTTAAAAAATGGAAGACGCTCGCATAACTATCCAGAGAGGGCCACACGTTGAAAGACAAACAAATGAACAACAACAGCACTACGATCAGTGTTCAAATGATGCCGTCCCTGAGATGATAGTGTAAGCCATCACCTGAGTTCTGAGTGGAGTTTACAGCTGTGTCATTTTGACTAAACTTTTAAAAACGATATGACTAACGGGGACACCTGTACCTGCTCGAGCGCAACAAACCCCACGGATGTGACGTTCTGACAAAACGAGGTTTTGCCAAGGACAGTGACATTGTGCGTTGATCTGAACACACAAACGCACACACACACACATACACACACACGTGCACGCACGCGCACACACACACACACACAAACACACACACACACACACATGCACACACACACACACACATGGCTCCTCACTGTCAGAAGTCACCAAGTCCTACTTCCATGGAGACTATGGTGCGGGGAGAGGCAATATCTAGTCATCCAGGGGAGCAAGCTACGATCCAGAAGCACGCACAAAATATTCAATGATGACTTGCCCTAAGGACACCTGCTGACTGCATTCGAATATTCTTTCTAGTGTCGGTACTCTAAAATATTCCGAATATGCGAATATTCCTTTGCACCACTGCAAGTAAATAGATATTCGTTTCACAAGACAATGCCGATACGCACCATGGACAATGCCTTACTTACCGTGCCAAGATCTCGAGACAGGAAGTGAAGATCAGTAGCTGATCGAGCAGAGCCACATCGGCACCACTCTGCCAGTCAACTAGACGCACACACAGAATATACCCAGAGCACACAGGCACACGCACCAGCATGTACATGTATGTGGACACCGACACGTTTGCACAGACGTGCGTGCGTGTGTGCATGCACAAACATGTAATAGTACACGTAGACTGTTATTAGATAAACCTTGTATTGTAGAAACACGCTTTTAGCTTGACAGCATACTACAAGGCGGTGGAACACCGTGTGTGGGGCTCAACCAACCGTGGATGGTTGTAGTATTTGTATTTGTATTAAATCTCCACAGGCCTTAGCCTAAATCGAGGGAGTCTCGTGTAAGGGGCACTGTTTCCGAACACCGTGTTCCACCACCTTGTAATGTGCTGTCAAACTAAATTAAAAAGAATGTAGACTGTTGCTGTACATGAAAAATAAGAACGGGCTGCCCCGGGCTACAAGGCTGACCCTCCAGTTAGTCAGAACCCGCCAGTGCTGTATTCTTCAATGCATCACTGTGTGTATGGAGACGGGGGGGGGGGGGGGAGAGAGGGGAGAAGGGGGAAGTGGGGGGGGGGGGGGAGGGGAAGAGGGGGGATAAGGGGGAGAAGGGGGAAAGTGGGGGGGGGGGGGGGGAGAGGGGAAGAGGGGAGATAAGGGGGAGAGGGGTCTGTAGAAAATACTATAAATCACACAATGCTAACCTACCACATAAAATCAATTGCTGAAATGCACCAGGAAAGCATATCGAGTGATCAAAATAAACAGCCATTCCCTTTACCTGACAGAACAACGGTGTGTTAAACTTACAGCGGACAAACTCCTGGTTCAAGTCACTGAAGTACTTCTCCAGCTCTTCTGGCAGTGTGGACGGATACCGGCTGAAGGAGAGTTCCCGTAGATCAGACAGGTGCCTGCATAAAACACGTACACACAGAACTTACTCATAGGACACAACAAAACCCACAGGAGGCCAGAAGCTGCCCCTTCTCATGCTCGACTGGGCGTTGCTCTATTTTAAACATACTAATCTTGCCAAAATTGTGATATTTGCAGGATGGTGGCGTTCCTACGGATGCTGAAAACTCACCCTAACTGAGTCTCACGCGGACCGAGAAATTTTTCAATCGCATCTCCACATGCACTCAGTGACCTGTATCCTAGACAACTACAGTACTTTTGGGCGCCGAAGCACGACCTGTCGCCAGGCTAGAATTTCACCAGGCACAGCATACCAATGCATACACGGTGGTAACTCAACTGCGCATTGACTGTAGTGCCCGTAATGTCGCGTATTAACCCTTTGAGGCCCATGGTACGGATATATCCGTACCAGTTTACAGTGCATACTTTTCAAAGCGCAACCTGGCGTAACTCGGCTGTCCCTTGACCAAATCGGACAATCGAAAGGGCTATCGACATTAGAATTGTCTCAGCTATCGGCTCAAAAAAACCCGAAGGCGATCCAAGGTCGGATAGCGGAGATACAAGACTCGAACCAAATTCGCTCAGCAGAGTCAACTCGAGTGCGTGCATTTTAACTCGTTTTAGGGGTTTTCCCTGACTCGCGGCCCACGCAGCTACAGATAGTTCACGTCATCGCAAAGGCATGTTTCTCAGCTCTCCAGTAAAAAAATTTGAGCGATCTGCGATACAATTTGTTGAAATGGCAGAGAATTTGAGTTGGGCGCTCGCAATGCTGGCTTTGGAGCGCCGTATCGCGCTGCGGCGCTGGTTCTGTGGATCGAGTGATGGAGTGATGGCTATCGCTGTGTTCCTCTGGCCAAGGGCTTTCCAGAAAGCCCAAGATCACCAAAATCGGCCAAAGGACACCAAAGTTACGACCAGATAAGTACCTGGGCTCGCGTATGCAGTGCTTTCTTGAAATAATTGTGGGCCCTAAAGGGTTAACGCCGGGCGTATTCCTGTAGTAGCCGATGTCAGAGCTAGGCTTATATTCACATCAGGCTTCTTCTCAAACCAGATATTTCTATGTATGTCAACACTAATACTAGGCTCATGTGCCAACTGTGTATCTTTAAAATCAGGCTTCTATTCAAAACAGGCTTCTATATGAGACCGGCTTTTTAAAGCTTGTCTCAATACAAGACACTACGGTACATGAAAATAAGAACAGTCTACATGGTGGGCTGAGAGGTTGATCCCCTAGTTGTTCGGCGTCCGACAGTACTGCAGTGATGTTATATAGCGGCACCAGGGGCATCACAGAGCAGTGGGGAGTGTGCTACAACCGGGTGGGAGGGCGGATTTTTCGGCTAACAGGGCACGTTTCAGCACCCAACAGGCGCTCTGGGCAGACCATCCTGGACGAAAAGTGGTACGACCATGGTGGTACCGTGTGTGACGCCCCTGCTGCCCAATCGTTGCTTCACAGTACCCTGGCAACAAGTTGTGCTCACCTCTCCTGTTCATCGTCGCTAGCAGTCTTGTAATGCGGCGAGGAGATACTAAAGACATGTGCGTAGCCCAAACACACAGCACTGGCGAATGCCGCTGGCCCTTCGGCAGCACACTGGAAAACATGAATGAAGACAAAAAAAGGGTTAGCGCGAGTGAACAACAAAGAAATGACAGAGAGAGAAAGACAGACAGAGAGAGAGAGAGAGAGAGAGAGAGAGAGAGAGAGAGAGAGAGAGAGAGAGAGAGAGAGAGAGAGAGAGAGAGAGAGAGAGAGAGAGAGAGAGAGAGAGAGAGAGAGAGAGAGAGAGTGGTGTGTGAGTTTGTGCGTGTGTGTGTGTGTGCATACATGTGTGTATGCATGTGTGTGTGTGTGTGTGTGTGTGTGTGTGTGTGTGTGTGTGTGTGTGTGTGTGTGTGTGTGTGTGTGTGTGTGTGTGTGTGTGTGTGTGTGTGTGTGTGTGTGTGTGTGTGTGTGTGTGTGTGTGTGTGTGTGTGTGTGTGTGTGTGTGTGTGTGTGTGTGTGTGTGTGTGTGTGTGTGTGTGTGTGTGTGTGTGTGTGTGTGTGTGTGTGTGTGTGTGTGTGTGTGTGTGTGTGTGTGTGTGTGTGTGTGTGTGTGTGTGTGTGTGTGTGTGTGTGTGTGTGCATGTGTGTTTACTCTCTCCTGGGAGGTCTCGACCGTGGCTTCTACACTGCAGTACAGCTAGCGCTGATTCGCCTGCATGTGTCACCTGCTAGTCGTGTCCTCCCATACTCATACATGTACTCCTGCCCATCGCATATCGCTGAAGCGATGATACCGAACAAGCAAGCTATGTTAGACATAGCAACTTGTGCTGGGATTACACCATTCAACAGCTTGCAAGGCTGATGGATTGACCGCCACTAATTCTAGCCTGGTCTACACCACACGGCTGGTTGAAGTGGCTTTTTCTGGCCAGTGAATCCCTATTTTTCACTTTTCATCACACCAAGAGTCCATAAACAAGAGTATGCAACTGTGATCTCTTTTCTATGGGCCAGATGCGCGGCGTGCTGCCTTCATTACATCATGCAGCTGCAGTCCGCGCACTGCGGAAAATCAAACACCGCACTTTCCCTCTGGTTTGAAATGAACTTTCGTACGGAACTGGAGTTCACGCGCCAGAATTTAGAGATCGCGTAGGTACTGGAACGAATCGAGCAAAAACGGATGGGCTCGTACGAGAAATTGTGAGTTTGAATGCATACTTTCAGAGCGTGATGATGGCCAGTTACGTAATGAAGGCAGCGCGCCGCGCACTGACCCATAACCACAGTTGCGTACTCTTGTTTATGCACTCTTGATCACACCTTACTGCTGCCTACGCACTGTCATTACATGTATTCCCGAGTTGTTGATTTATTGTGGCATACAGACTGCTACGTCATTGCTGCTCTGTCTCCACGGAAAATCGCGGAAAAAATCTTTGCAAGTTGCGCAAATCTTGCGGTGCATATTGGACTGAATTTGCGGCAAAATATGCGGCAAGGAGCTGAACTTGCGGTAGGATATGACGGAACTTGCGGTAAAAATGTGGGAGTCTGTAGATGTTCGGTCATGTGTCTGATGCAGTGCTCTTGTACGCGATCACCATCACACGCACCATACCAGAATGGTACTACGAGCATGATATGTAGAGTGCTCACAAGGCTGCATGCGTGCATGCCGCACGCGCCAGAGTCAGTCGATCGTGCGAGCAGCGCTTTCACGTACACTGAAAAACACCACGATTTCTCGAAATCTGATATTTGTTTCCTCACAATTCACGGCGATTCTGCAAAATCATCACATTCCGCGGGAGACACCGAAATTCGCGGATTTTGTTGCGGCCGTGAGATCGCGATTTCCTGTGGGGACATGCTGCTGCTGCTTTTCGCTGCCGCTTTAGGAGCTGCATCTACGCCTCAGAACTTTGCAGGGTGGTAGTGTTAGTACGGATGCTGAAGACTCAGTCTAACCGAGTCTCAAGCAATTTGTGAATTTTTTTATTCTCGCTGCCATTCTAGCGCTGAATCGACCTACATGCGTGTTGTTTGCTCTGTCACATTTCACCTGCATGTATTCGCGTGGGCTTGTGCACATACTGAGTACCAGTTCCAGCAGAAGGTGACAATTTGTCGGCCTGCCCGTGTAATAATCTTGTCACTGTTCGTCACTCTAGTGCTGTTAAACCCATTGGCACAGAGCTCCCCCCTCCCCCCCCCCCTTATAAGTTAGACCCTCTTCTTGTCCATTGTCCACTTCATAGTGGTGACGATAACCGAATGGAGGTGCGTGAGAGCTAGGTCTCAGGTCGTTGAATGTCTCAGTAACATGTCAGTTTCGCACTTTCTGACTGCTTATTATCTTGTTACAGTCGTGGATTGTTGCTTCATAACTCATTTCCATGTAATTTCTTCTATTTTAATTGTATTTATTGGCTCAGTAACCGGGTCGAAATGCTGAAATATTTTACTTTCTCGAAGAAGGATTTCGTGTGCAGTTCAGCCGCTGAGTACTACCCAGTGTAGCCGGGAAACATATTACAGGGTCCGCACACAGGCATACATTTGAAATTAAAGTATATTTCGGGACACAAAAAACAAGATTCGAGGACTTTTCGAGGATATTTTCAAGCGACCAATCGCCTGGCGGAGTGCACACGAGGTCGATCCAGCCGAATTCATGCAAAGAGGTCCAGTACTTTTGCGTGTCTTCCACGTACTTGATCCCAGAGTGCATGCACGCAGTGTAGGCTCTACCACTGGTACGGTGACACACTTGGAGTGTACACTAGTGCACTGCTACACTGGCCATGTTGGCTATGCATCACAGGGTACAGTGAAATTCGTAATGCCTAAAAAACTGAATTTCAAGGATTTTTCAGGACAACCATGCATTTTCACCAGATTTAGGGTTTTTTCAGTATAATCTTTACCGGGAATTTTTTTCAAGTATATTTTGGGGTTTTCAAGGGCTGTACGGACCCTGTATTATGTTACGATGATGTTGTGCGAGGCGCTGTCATATTATGTTACGATGAAGCTGTGTGAGGCGCTGTTCAAGACGTTTTACACAAGCAGGTATGGCTGTCGTTTCGTTGATACATGTACATTCACCTCAGTGTAGAGCCTTGTCCAGTGCAGTCTCGTGATCCTTGAAACTGTTATACGTGAAACTCCCATATTATCATCAGTCACCACCACTATACAACGGTCGTTGACGCTGCAAATTTCTGCACTCACATCACCATCACCACAGCAAGGACAATTCCGGTATATCATTGAAATTGACCTTTGTGTTGTGGTGGTGGTGGCTGATCATAATATGAATTGGCTGCAGTGGAGCCTCCGTGTTCTAAAAAAACGTGAAACTCCCAGTCACAGCTAAACTTGGCCCCCTACTTCGTGCGTGTAACGACTCTACATGTACAGCCGTCGCCAGAAATATCCAACCCGCGAGTCAACGCAGCGCCTCGTTTCCATTTTCAATTACATCATGCACGGTCCAAACAACCCAGCCGAGGGCCGCAGGGGCCGCATGAGCCTTGGCGCTGCATTTAGCTCCCGGGTCGGATTTCTTTGGCCACGACTGTAGTCCGAAACTGTATTCAGTGAGTGGAAATTTTAAGACTGCTGACTCTCTCTCTCTCTTCGACAGCCAATCTCTTTATTACTTTTTCAGGCTAGGGGTCAACCAAGTGCTAAGGTGGACGAAATCCTAACAGAGTGCAAACGATGGACGCACATGTATAACGTTGCGTGTGCATGTACCAATGATTAGCAAAATGAGGTACCGGGTTATTTAAATTGCTATTCTCATTTGAAGATATTGTAAATTATTTCCTCTCTCACCGCTGAAAGGTTTGGCTCCACTCGCCCCTGGGCCATTACTGCATTCGCTTCAACACTATTGCTATGCTAGGAGGGCATGTCAGCAAAAGCGCGTGGCGATGCCACGAGGAAGGAGCTATGTCGAATAACACCGGTGCAGGCACTCACAAAACAATTTCCAATGTACGCCTACTTCTCAAGTCAAATTTCTGGCTTTGCGCAGCATGATCGTCCACAAAAATGTACAAAGACTTGACACAGATAAACTCAGTCGTCACAGACAGTTCGAATCATGGAGTAGTAATATTTTACCAAGAGTCATAATGATTTTACTATTCCCTGGTTAATGATGTCTGCTGCATTGATGGCCAGGGAGTAGTATAAATACTACTCCCTAATTGCAGACACAGTGCAAGTACCGGTACATGATGTAGTTGTAGATGCAATTATTGTGGGGGTCATTGGGGTCAAAGTTCAAAGGGCCTATGTCGTTACATGATATAAATGGACAATGATCGATTTACATAATAATTATTGTATGTGCGACACAAATACATTGTACGAATGAAACATAGCGCCATGGCGGCCGTCTTGATCACCGACCATGATTATAATGCCATATGCGTGATCAGTACAGATTGGAGAGCAAAATCACTCCCTCAAATTTTTGGGATTTCCTTCTCGGATACCTTATTTAGCCCCGAAGACTTGCACACTCTCTCGGGTAGATCTACCTGCGCATATCACTCATCCATCGGGCATCTTGTTGCGACTCCCGGCCTGATCCACATGTGCGACCGGAAGCAAACTGAGAATAGCCTCGATTTTTCTACTCGATCTCGGCTTTTCTGCTGTTGTCCGATTCTGCATGTACGTAGCGAGGACTCAGGTCACGTCGATGCCGTTGTTTGAAACATTCTAATAATATTCGAGAAAAGGTCTTCACTACTGTAGCAGGCTTAGGGTTAGACTAGAGAGTAGTTCCTTGTGGTGGAAGTCATGCTTCGGTGATGACCGTGTCCGGACGTGGAGCAGGGTGCGTTCTTTGGGAAACGCCGGTCTTCGGATGGTGGTGTCGGTGGCGAGAAAGGACAGGTGAGACAATAGGCTCGTACGCGTATACGGGCTCTATTCTTCTGTCGTCGGTGCCCTTCCTAGGGCCCCGGCTGGTGTTCGAAAGCTGCCAGTTCGCAGGCTAGGGTATGGTTTGTGAGGTTTGCGGGGAAATTATAATGATCAATTTTACAAGCTGAGCATTTTGGTATCTTCCACGAGAATATTATGCATGTCAGCGACCGGGGGGGGGAGGCATGTAGCGTAACTTAGGTTCACGAAAAATAAGCAAGTGACAAGCAGCACTGTATCACACTCCGTGGTGTAGTCCTAAGCTAAGCTCTAGCACTCTGGAGCTGTGGTCATGAGTATTATCGGGTGTCTACAGCAGCCCTATTCAAGAGGTGTTCTCAGGCCAGTACTCAGTAGCCAACTCCTGAAGGCCTAAGGGTGGTTGGGCCCAAGTTCAACTAAAGGGCGGATCATTTCCCCATGTCCTTGTTCCTTATCACTGGAGGACATATCTAGCTCTATGCATCATATCAAGTTGTTTCAAGGACACATTCCTCTGGCAACAGATATAACTGCTTGTAGCACAGTAGACCTCACTGGACAAGACCAACAGTTTGTGAGGGAGAGAGACTAAGTTACTCTTGCAAAGAATGTACCAGGATAGCCTATTAGTATCAGCAAGAGTACATGACCCCCAAGAGTGTGCAACTCCAGCTATGGGCCGGTCTGACGGCAGAACCTCACATCACGTGATGAACCCGTACACATTATTTGCACTCTGTGCATGATTGATACAGGGTTGTACACAATCCAGCTTTGGGCTCAACTCTCTTGTGGTCACTTTGCACCAGGGAGTCGTAAAATACCCGGTATTGTACGACTCCCTGCTTTGCACTGTTTGCCAGCGTAACCTTTTGAACTTTGTCACGTGATGTGAAGTTCTGCCGTCGCAGCACAGCATGAAGGTTGTGCAGGCAGTTGCACACTCTTGGGGGTTATGTACTCTTGGTATCAATACTTCCACAGAGTATAGCATACACTAGACAGTCCATGAACGCTCCCCGCCGTCCCCGGTAGTACAATGTCACATGATGTGCATTGTATACTGCGCTTGCCTGTGAACCGAGAGGTCGCGGGTTTGAGCCCCCTCCCCGCGGTCGTACATCTGACTGCAAATCCCCATGACACAGGTCACCAGATCAAGGCGTGGGTCCTCTTCACTCATTCTAAAAGACGCGTTGATCGAGCTGTACGTCCGGGGCCTAGAGGCGGGCTCGCACCCCAGTGTGGCAACTTGCCCATGTCTTGCCCCCAGGACGAAGTGAATAATAGTAGTAGTCATACCAGGGGCGTAGCAGCCGGTCCGGCTCTGGCCGGAACACTTTTTCGCCTGACCACGGCCAAAGGTGCCCAGAATGCAGGATTTTGCACCCTAATTTCAAAATTTCCCGGGTCACAGCCCCCCCCCCGGGACGAACCTCCTGCCGGACCACCTCTAAAGGCTGTGCTACGCGCCTGCATACAGACATCTGCCCTGGGTATTAGGCATTGGCGGACAATGCTCGAAAAGGTGGCACATTCTGCTCGAAAAGCAGTAAAATTGGCAGAACCATACAAGCCTTATGGCGGGCAAATCCTCGAATTCTGCTCCATTTCTTTATCCACGTACCAAACATGCATGAAACTTACCAGAAAAAGTACCGAATTCAACATTATCCGCATATGTCTACTGTGTATCAGTCGGCGTTATTTTGCCCATCGTAGTATGAGCCTAGCCGCACCGACGTGTTTGTGTGAATTACTGGTTTTTAAAAATGCGGCCAATACTCCGGAAAATACAGCAATGTCGCTTCTGCCTCTGCCGTGTGCTGCTTCAGGAAGCCACAGCTGCCCGCTGGCGTGCAGCGACTATCAACAATACTGACATTATAACTTTGAAGAATATAATTGTGTGTGTACGGAAGCGAGGGCATGCAAAGGCCTTAGCGTTGCCGCCAGATGTTGCCGGCTGCTGGCAGCTGGTATGCGGAAAGCGCAAAGTGCGGGCCAGGCGCGACTGGGGCTGCTTCTCTTGCTGTGTTGGATAGTGCATGCACAGGAAGGTACGTACTCAGTGTACATGTAAACGGAGTGATCTCTCTTTCTCTCTCTCTCTCTCTCTCTCTCTCTCTCTCTCTCTCTCTCTCTCTCTCTCTCTCTCTCTCTCTCTCTCTCTCTCTCTCTCTCTCTCTCACACACTTCCTTACCCCCCCCCCCCCCTCCCTCGCTCCTGTTCAGCCCTGCACCGGTGTGTGTGTGTGTGTGTGTGTGCACGCGCATGTGTTTGTGTGTGCACGTGTGATCGTGTGTGCGTATGTGCATGTCTGTGTGGGGGGTGCGTTTTGTGGGCACGTGTGTGTGCACGTGTGCAGGCGTATTTGTGTGCATGTTTGTGTGTGTCTGTCTGTGTGTGTGTGTATGTGTATGCGTTCGTGCATGTGGGCATATGTGTGTGAGCGTTGCTGTGACGAAAAGAGTATGGCCATCACAATAGGTGGTGGTCACATGACATTGGGCAAGGAATAGGCATGTGTAGATGTTTGCACAGTGACTAATGATGCGACGTTAGAGCGCAGTTAGGGTGGTTCCTGGGCTCGCTGGGAACCAGGCTGGGCCGCACCTGGTTGTAATGTACCGTAAATCAACAACATGTTGGCACTGTGCGAGTCTGGGCATGGTAGGACTTGAATTTCCCTATTAACATGTTTGGTGTTCGCTCGCCACATCGGAGCTAGAGCTTTTCTGCCCACTTGACTTGATGCTTGACTGACTCACGATTGCCATCTAGAGCACACGAGAAGCCCATCCATTGGCATCCAACCTTCGTGACTCTGTAAACCTGCATTATCTCGTACAACATTTCGGCATAGCACATTTCTCGCCATGGTAGAGATTGAATTGTGACAAACCGAAAAGTCAACATCCTATTAAGTACAATAACAAGTAATTCCACACGACGTACGTCTCGCCGTATAGGTACTGACGACCATTTCGATAGTAAATTTTACTATGAATGTTGACTGCGTAGAGACTAAATAGAGAGGTTAAAGGGGAAGTATACCCTAAAATCAAATTTTCACCAGTTGTAGTCTTCGTGGTGCTGAGTCGAATGGTCTTGGTCCGAGGACGCTGAGACGCTCCCTTCCTCCTTTATTCCCAATCGAACTCGCGCGCTTCCACCGAAACTGGGTGACTGCAACCTACTAGATAGGGATTTGTATGGAAAAAGTCACTAAAAACGCCGTTCCGTTCTTATAAAAGCACGGATGACCGCGATTGGTCCATATGTTGTAGTCTTGTGGCCGCTGAGTCGACTGGTTTTGGTCCGAAAAGGCTGCGATGCAGCGTTCGGCCCTTATTCCCAATCGAACACGGTTGAGTGAGCGGTCACGTGCCTGCAGAGTACATTTTTCACATCAAGATTCAACTCAAAGGTTCAAAGTAGGGAGTCGTAAGAGGCTTTTACGACTCCCTGGTTCAAAGGTTCAACTCGAGTGACATAAACGGGCCCAAACAGGCTGTAAATGAGCACGTGACCGCTTACTCAACCGCGTTCGATTGGGAATAAGGGCCGAATGCCGAATTAGACGTGAGCTGCAGGTCACTTGCGTTGTGCACACGCCAGAAAGTTTCTTGGGATCGGGAGAGCTTGATTTGACTGAATTTGACTGACACTGCACAAGAGGTAAAATTATTGTTCTTGCTGTGAACTGAAAGAAGACGACGACTAAAGCGCAAGGCGCTTGCGCAGAGCAAAAAAGGAGGAAAAAACATGGAGGAAAGTCGCCAAGAGGCGAGTGAGTCAGTAGAAATAATAAACACGCGGCCCCGCTTCGGTGTGGGAACGCGGAAACAAACCGGGGTAGAGAACACAAACTATGACGTGTACTGCAAATAATCTCATGACGTTGAACATCATGTCAACGTCGTGACACTCCCCCGCAAGAGATGCAGAGAAAAGGAGATAATTCGTAACAAAGTAACGTGGAAACAAAACACAATAAGTGCATATATTACGCAAGGGTGAAAGAGAGTAGACCGTCACACACAGAGAGAGAGAGAGAGAGAGAGAGAGAGAGAGAGAGAGAGAGAGAGAGAAAGAGAGAGTTCAGATGTGAACTACCAACTGTCTAGCTGATTCAACTAAACAAGTTCGCTGCCATTTCTTCAAAGGCCACATCCAGAACAGACTTAGCTAGGATGAATTGTGGCGCGTTGTCAGACACTACCTCTTCCGGGCAACCACGCAACGACACGAACCTGCGGAACGCTAGCAGGAATTCCTCTGTGGTCATGTCTGCCACCAGTTCTAGATGGACAGCTCTAGTTGCCATACATGTCACTAGGAGGACCCATACCTTCTTGGTACTTGGCTGGTGCTTGACGAGCAGAGGACCGAAGTAATCTAGTCCCACATGGGTGAACGGGATAGATCTTGTTGCGCGGGCAGATGGAAGCGGGGCCATATCTGGGGTGCGGTATGGACCACCGTGGTGCTTCCGGCAAGTCAGGCACTTAGTGATGAATGACTTCACTGTTGCACGCCCTCGTGGTAACCAGTACTCGTAACGCAGTCTTGATAGCGTGTGTGCAACGCCGCCATGCATCGTCATCAGGTGACAATCGTTGATGATGAGCTGGGTGATGGGATGCGTTTGGGGAATCAGTACTGGATACTTTGCTTGATAGCAAAGTTCGGCGTTCTCCAAGCGTCCTCTGCATCTGATGAGGCGGTTCTCATCGAGGAAGAGCCGCAGCTTGTCCTTCGGGCTGTGCTTCTTACAATTTTCGACAGCACTGACGTCTGACAGATTCTGTTGTGCATGGTGTAGCCACATGATTTTGGCTACCTTGACCTCTGAGTTACAACTAGAATCCACCCCGAAGGACTTGCCGCCTTGTGGTCTCAACCTGGAGAGAAACCGCAAACACAGAGCAGAAACACGCACTAAGGCACTGAAAGACGAAAACCTGGCACAATCAATACCAAATGGTGGTTCATCACATGTTTTTTTTTGTTCGTGATGCGCATCAGGCTTTTTTTTCATTTCGTGTGCAAGCTCAGTGTCTGGACCGGTGGACTCTGTTGGGTGTGATACAGGTGCAGGTATCTCCGAAGTGCTTGAAGGACCCTCCCCAGCGGCAACGTTGACATGGTGATCAAGTGCTGGCTCGGCGTGATGGTCAGCAGTGGCAAGGAAGTGTGGACCGTGCCACCATAGCGAGCTGGCTTGAAGGGAAGGAACAGAGACACCGCGTGAAGGCAAGTCGGCGGGATTGTCGGCAGAGCGGACATAGCGATAGGCAACATCGGGAACCGCACGAATGGCATCAATACGGTTGTTGACGAAGACAGGTAGTTTGTCAGAAGAGGCCAGCCAATGGAGAACTGTGGTGGAGTCTGACCATAGAAAGGTAGAGGAGAAAGTGAGCGGAAGTTCCCGACGGACGAATTGGATCAGACGAACACCGAGAAGCGCGGCCATTAATTCCAGACGTGGAATGGTAGGTGAAGCAACAGGTGCAACACGGGACTTGCTGATTAGAAGGTTCGACGTGTGTTGATCGTCAATCGTAGTAGTAAGGTAAGCAACGGTACCGTAAGCCAGCCCAGATGCGTCGCTGAAGACGTGGAGAGAAAACCGAGCGTCGCTGGCACGTGGTGCACTGATGAATCGTGGACATTTCGTTGATGCAGCAAGTTCAAGTTGAGCCGCAATATCACACCATCTACAAATGATGTCTTGTGGAAGGTCGTCGTCCCAGCCGACGTTCAGCTTCCAAAGATCCTGAAGCAGAATCTTCGCACCAACAAGAACAGGAGACTGGAGACCAAGGGGGTCAAAGAATTGGGCAGTATGTCGAAGGATACTCCGCTTCGTTGTGGCCGACTTGGATACGGCACTGACAGGTGCAATATGTAGAGTATCATGTTCTGTATCCCACAGCATACCGAGGCACTTGTGGATAGTACCCTTGGCTCGGTCTGGTTCTGGAATGCTGCTAAGAAACTCTGCAGAATTACTAGACCACTCGCGAACATTCATAGACGCAACACTGAAGAGGCGCTTCGTGGCATCATAGATAGCAATCGCCTCCGTCCCAGAGTTGGCACCAAGGAACAGGTTGTCAACGTAAATATTGCGAGACACTAGGTCGGAATCTGTTGTATCAGCAGCGCTAAGATGATGCTGAATAGTGGCAGCCAAGAGATATGGACTGCTGACAACGCCAAACGGAACACGACAGAAACGAAGTTGTCGTATGTTGTCTGGAGTAGCTGAGCTGGATGCATCGTGCAGCCATAGGAAGCGGGTCACGTCACGATCATGTGAGTGCAGACCAATCTGCAGAAAGGCCTTTTCTACGTCTCCACTTATGGCTACCGGAGAAAGACGAAAACGAAGAAGAATACCGCAAAGGTCTGGAACAAGATTGGGGCCAGCGTGCAAGCAGTCGTTGAGACTGGCGAGTTTTTCGGAACATTTTGCGGACGCATCATACACTACCCTCAGCTTCGTGGTAGTAGCAGTAGGTTTGAGTACTGAATGGTGTGGAAGGTAGTGAATCTGGTTGGTTGTAAAACCACGAGGAACATCTTCTATCATGCCCCTGTCAAGCTGGTCTTGAATCACGGTATCGTACTGGTCAAGAAGTTCCGGATGGGCTTCGAGGCGACGCACTTGTGCCTTCAGGCGACCGAAAGCCAGACCGTAGTTTGTCGGAAGAGGAGGATGTGAGTCCCTCCAGGGCCAACTCACCGCGTACCGACCCTCGGCAAAGGAGATGGAGTTGGCGAAGCGCTCGCCCACAAGATCTTGCGACGACGTATCGTCAAAAGTACCCAAGCTCTCTGTCGACCAGAACTTACGGAGGTCGAATTCAGGGTCCGTGTCTGTTTGATGAGCAAGACATGACTGCGCCTCTGTGGTGGCAGGCACAGGCAGACTGCCGGTACAGATAAAACCAAGAACGGAGTCGAGCAAGACCAGACCACCGCTTAGTTCGGTGCGGTCCTTGCCGATAATATCATAATAGTGATCGAGACCAATCAAGACGTCTACGACCATGGGCTCTGCGCTGCTGGAGAGCGGTTCTGCAAGTGGCAGAGACTGTAGAAGAGGAAAAGAAGAAGCAAGTGGACATCGCGCAATTGGAGCGGTTATGTTCGGAAGTACACTGGCCTGAATCGCACGAGTGGACCCATCCTTACACTGCATGGTCAAACTCACCTTGGCGTACACGGTACTTTTTCTTTTGTTGTTCCCAAATGTAGCCAAGGAGAGTGTTTCATTTCCGATTGTGGGCAAATCGAGCTGATCTCGATAAGCTTGCGTGATGTATGTCTTGGTGGAGCCGGTATCAAAGAGAATACGGCCATTGATCGGCTTCAGCTTGGAGGAGAGAAACGGTGCCACAGCAGTTTGCATCATGATCTGGTGATCGGCGTTTGCGACCGTGCTCGTGGCAGGCTTGGGTTTGAAGGACTGAGCATTCGGGCTCATAGTGGAAGCTTGCCTCTGAGTGGATGCGGCAGTGAATTTATCTGGACACAAGCTGCTGTGGTGTGCAGGATTGTGGCAATAGAAACACCGCCGTTTGCTAGAGCAATCGTGCACGGAGTGGCCTGATCGCAAACACTTGAAACACCTTTGTTTAGCTACGCTCTTCCTCGCTTCTACTGTAGTGTACTTATTGCATTCGTCAGAGAAATGTGCCTCCGAACTGCAAAAAACACACACTCTCTTGGGCTTCGCTTTTGAAGTAGCTGAAGCTGAGGCAACAAGAGATTGACCGGACGCACTGGCAGATGGTGATTCGTGCGATTTTTTCGGTGGCTGGCTGAGGCGATCTGCTGCTTCATTCGCTATTATGAAGTTGGCTACTGCAGCGCGCAAGTCCGAAACGGTCCAGGATTGTGGCCCCTTTTTTAATTCCAAAGCCGCTAGCGTGGTGCGTGGCAATTTGTTCGTAATCATTGACACAAACACCGCCTGATTAACATTCTCACCAAGCGCTGTGAGGCTTCGCAAGTGCACCTCCAACGCATCGTGCAACCTACGCAAAGATGGAGTAGCGTTGGACGCAGGCGGTAAGTCCATGATTGCCGTGTAGTGTGCATTGACGCGAAGCTGATCATTCCCGAAACGTTTGCGGAGAATGTCAAGCGCGGTTGTGTAGTTGGTATCTGATATGGGCAAGCCAGCTATGGCATCCCGAGCCAAACCCGTTACGTGATCTCTTAGGTACGACAGTTTCTGGACACCCGACAACCCTTGATTCGCATCAATAGACGCAACAAACATATCGTGAAACTCAGCCCATTTCAGGAAATCACCAGAAAATGTTGGTATTTCAAATTTGGGCAAATTGACTGAACTTGTGGGAGCTGGTTGTGGTTGAGGTGATGATGCTTGCATGTGTTGTACGACTAGTTGGTGTTGTTTGATTAGATCCTCTTGCGACTGTAATACTTGCTGGTGTTGACTATGTGTAATAGACTGCGTACGAACAAGATCTCCTATTGACTGTTGGATGCTGGACAAATCAACCATACTAGTTTCTTGTTTGATACCCGCACTGCCCGTACTCTTGGTGCTACTTGGTGAGCTAGTACTAGTAGTAGCAGCTTCTGGACGGTTCGTCTGGGCTCTGTACTGCGGAGATCGCTTGCATTCAACAATTGACCCTCTGATGCGTACCGAATACGCAACCACATCGCAGATCTCCGTTTGCAGAGCCTCATCTGAACCCTCCAGAGTCTCCGAGTCCAAAACACTGGCCAATGCATCACACGCCTCATCATATGCGTACAATTCTTCAACAATACAATCCACAAGTGTACTTAGCTTTTTTGGATCCGAGTCCACGTGTTCTGGCGACAACTCGTCGGCCCTTTGACCTCCTTCCTTCGATAAAAGGAGTTCGGCCTCTTTGACGAGTTCGTCGATGGATCCTTGCAGCTGCGCGATCTTGGCCCGGCGCATGATCTGCGTGCCGGTCGTCACTGCTCTCTTCGGCATGTTAGCTCGACGACCCAAATCGGGCAAGCTGCTTACAAATTATTTGAGTCGAGTCTATCTTTCTCAAGATTGGAATGGTACGCACGGCTCGTTTCGAGCTCCGGTGCGGTTCATGTCCCGGGTTTCGGCACCACTTTGTGCACACGCCAGAAAGTTTCTTGGGATCGGGAGAGCTTGATTTGACTGAATTTGACTGACACTGCACAAGAGGTAAAATTATTGTTCTTGCTGTGAACTGAAAGAAGACGACGACTAAAGCGCAAGGCGCTTGCGCAGAGCAAAAAAGGAGGAAAAAACATGGAGGAAAGTCGCCAAGAGGCGAGTGAGTCAGTAGAAATAATAAACACGCGGCCCCGCTTCGGTGTGGGAACGCGGAAACAAACCGGGGTAGAGAACACAAACTATGACGTGTACTGCAAATAATCTCATGACGTTGAACATCATGTCAACGTCGTGACATGCGTTGCGTTGTTTTTCGACGCGCGAGCCAAATAACGCGAGCTGAACTTTTGCTTCACGTCGGAAATGGCGTGCATCATTCAACTCTCTAATAATGTGTGGCTGTGTTTGCGTGTGCGAATTCTTAGCCAAGCGAAACGCCTCTGCAGAATAGACTGCCGAGATTGCCGTTCATATACACTACTGTAAACTGCCTACAGTCCATTCATAAAAAGATGGGTCCTGGTTCTGGCGAGCTCCCGTATTTGGCGATTTTTCGTGATTTCATCGTACACAGTGCAGTGCTGCGAACTTTGAAATTTGAAAAAGGGTCCAAAAAGGGTGCCTGAACTGGGGTTCGAACCGCAGAATGCACTGTTGCAGGCGGGGTCAAACGGCCTGGATTTTGATGGTTTTTCCCAATTCAGTGCTTTTGGGGCAAAACCTGGCCGAAATCCTATTCTTGCTATGGCTTGCTTTTTGGACAAAAAAACTTCAGAAACATAATTGGAAGAGGATTCCATATGGGATTGCAGAAAAAAATTCTAAAAAAACTCAACGTTTGACCCATTTATGGCCAAAAGCTAGAAGTTCATTTTTTTCTGAATGGACTGTAATATTCGCGACGGATTAATGTTTGCTATTTTCGCGAGACGAGCGTAACGCGAATATTAACCATGGCAAAATCTAACTTCAACAGTGGGTGGTCCCAGTGCTTCGCGAACTTTTGCCATCGCAAACTCGCTGGTTCTAAGAAATCGCGAAAATTTAGTGACGCCAATATTGGGCGGTTTACAGTATGCTGTGTTTCTTCTTTTTTGCTTGTACTGTGTAGGGCTATGTCCAGCGTTAGACCCGCCGCATAATGGTAAGATTCAAACCTTGGAGACGCCAATTCGAAATGGCACGGTCATCATGCTCGTGTGCAACGTCGACTTTGAGCTTAGCGGCACGGCGGCGATCTCGTGCTTGCCAAGCGGTGTCTACAGCAAAGAGCTGGGGAGCTGTGTTTCGAGTGAGTACTGCAGACCTCGCAATGATGAGTCGTGACGAGTCAGTCTCAGGGCATGACACACATGTGTGTGCAATGTTCTTTGTGTGCGTTTTTGTTCGTGCGTGCATGAGTGTGTGCGTGTGCTTGCCTACATCTTTGTGTTTGCGATGTTGCATGCGTGTGTGCACGTATCTTGTGCGTGTTCTTATTCGCAGCGACTATCTCGTCAACAACCCTGTTCCTGGGCATCGGTGCTGGTATTGGAGCCCTCGTTATGTTGACACTGTTGGGACTAATCTTTTGGAAGAAAAGGAAACTTTCCCGTGAGCCGGAGAAGTAAGTTTTTTCTTTCTTGTTGGCGGAGGCCGTGTATGGTTGCCACTAATATTGCTTTCCACCGGAATGTTTTCTTTCGGCTGAGTTGGGTAGGTTAGCGCCTCGACATTAGAGAGGTTAAGATGAACGTTATTTCCGACGTGACACGAAAGTTCAGCTCGCGTTATTTGCTCGCACGTCGAAAAATCAACGCGAGCGACCTGCTGCTCACGTCGAAATTTGGAGTTTTACGCCAAATTTGACGTGAAATTGCGCGTCACGTCGGAAATAACGTGCATCTTAACCTCTCTAATGTTCAGGGCCTCACCTGACTCCTAGTCTGGCTGAATATGTTGCAGTTTGTTCACCTTCAAAAGATGGCGTGGTTTTTATGGAATCTGAAAACTACTAAATCTTTCTATTTTGAAAACAAGCGGGGGGTCGCGACAGTGCCTTGCCCCTCTTTTCTAAGCTCTCCTTTAGCATGGACATGTTTCCCGTCAGGCGAAATAGCACGCCATCGTACATTTGAGATCAGCGGGAAGATGACGACGTCCACTAATTTAGTATCTGTGCACACCAATGTGCTGTGTGTGTGTGTGTGACTTTGTGTGTCAGCTATGACATCAAACCCTGTGGTTCCATGCCTAGCATGTAGGTCGGAACCGTCCTGCAAAGTTTGAATGACGTAGGTAGAACGATCGCGCCGCCAACCATACATTTTGAAAGAGGCTAGGCGAAATATCTGGCAGTTGCAATATACAACACAGACGCGTGTAATTGATAGCAAAAGTTAGTACACTGTTTCAATTTATAGAATTATTATTATAAAATACAGCCTCTGTGCTACGCTTACAAGTCCATAATGATAGCTTGCATGCCGTCCTACCGGTAGGACCACGGGTCCTACCGGTAGGACCCAATAAATCGTGCTGCAAAAGTGCTTTTGGTTGAGAAAATTCTTGAAAAAATTGTTGAGATGAGGTCTTTGTCAGGCAAAGTAATGGCGCAAAATGCAAGACTATGTCCAGTGCATTGCATACGCGCAATTTTATCAATTGTCAAAATGGCCGCACATACTCCTGTCGGAGCGCTAGCAACTCTGTCCAAAGTGAATTTTGACCTTGGCACATCAATCGTGGTGAGGTACTAATGTTTTTATTAGTCTGCCAAGGCAGTGGAAGGCATAATTCCATACACCGTTTCCATGGTTACCATTTGCTGTTACCATGGAATTTCGTACTATGCCTTGTGCGATCACGTCTAAAATTTGTGGACTCCTTCATTAGCCCCTGAGCAACAGTTTAGGGTCAAGTTTTAGGTCAATGTTAGAACAGAGGCCATGCAGCATGTCTGTGTATGATGGTCCTACCGGTAGGACCGAGGTCTATGCAAGCTATCAATAAATGACGAAACAGTTCCGCCCGCAGATTGAGTAAATTACAGGTTATGTATGCAGCATTTGCAACAAATACATGATACTGGTTCACAGGGGTGTGAGCCGTGGTGTTCACACAATGATTGGGAGAATGCCCCGTGGTTTAGTTGCTGGCGACTAGAAAACAGCAGACCTAGTTGATGTCCAAACTTGTTGCTCTACCCTCCAAACTATGTGCATGTGAAACGAAACCCATCACTCACACACTTGGAACGGTCAGCCAGACGTAAGTTTCCAGCCAGTAGCAACTGAGCCTCATGTGCTGGCCACGTACTTTCATCGCCAAGAGGCCATACCGTATGCATGGACTGGTAAACCTCCTAGGTGGTCGGAAATGGTGCTGCAGTAGCTCAAAAGTCTCCTTTGAACTTAGCCGAAACGGGTAACTTCAGCCACGAGCCCTACGCACCAGCCACTGTCGATGCACTTCTCCCTTTTTCCGGATCATCAAACGTTCACAAAACGCCGGCATCGTCAACCAGTTGCTGAAGAAGAGTACCGGCTTCATGTCGCGCTGCAGGTTCCGAAGAATCACCTTCTACAAGACAACCGGGACCATCCTCGGGTGACGACAACTCCCCCAACGTTCCAGACTAATATTGAGAGTCAGAGATTCTCGGAGAGGCCACACTTTTGGGCTGGCCTGAAGCGAATTCGCCGCCAGAGTCGACAGAATCGGGCACCGACACAGCGTCAGCACTTGAAGAGTTGTCTGAACAACCGCTATCATGACGCTTGGAAGAAGTCGCTCAAAACAAATCTCCAATTTTCGCTTGGTGAAATCGCTTCACACGTGTACCTGCCACACTGACAGAACTTGGAAATTGGTGGCGAAGAATAAAAACAAAATAAAAACAAACTGAAAGCTTTCGAAACAAAAAGACTGTGACTTTCCAACTTGGATTTCGACTCCGGTTTTGCTAGTGCAAAAAGTGGGTGTGATCCGCACTGCACCGGTGCTGTGCAGCACTATTGCAATGTGGTTCACACAGCGAATGCGAACAGCGGTTCAAAGAAGTACAAGCCTATCCTCGAGCTTCACAAATGTACATAGACTAGATGTCCTACAACTTACGGCTACATGTGGACCCTGCGTACTCTTCTTCAGTCAACAGTAGTTTCGACGCGTGAAGTCAGTGCCTGTAGACTTGTCCATGAACTGGCAGGATAGTAGTATAGTGCATGTTGACATGTTCTGGCCAAGCACGTATGGATACCTGACTGCAAAGTATCCACTCTGGCTACGCGCCTGTTCCACCATTGAAATTTCAAATTTCTTGCTGAGAGGGGTAGCTTGCAACCTCGATATGGCTTGTTCCAGGCATGCTGTGAAGCAAAACCCTGTTGAAGTAGTGGCGGGGATCTGCCCTGCAACTGCTACAACAAATTCGATCTGAGAAAGCGTGAGGCCGTGAATCCCGGTTGAATATTGAGTATTTCAAGCCTTTTTAGACGAAGATGGAGTTCTTCTTGGAGATGGACGTGGCGGCAAAGGACATGGTTTCCGACTTCTGGCGTCTGGTGAAGCCAGGGAGCATTTGTCCAGTCAGGTCGGCAGCCTAACCGTCAGTAAGCTTGTGCTTAGATCGCGTTCTGCTCGATGTGGTAGATCACAAACAATTTTGATATCGCACAAATTGAACTCTGCATCGTGCGTACGGTATTTTATATTCAGAAAATCGCAACGTGTCTCTGACTCTCTGTGTGGCCGTCCTATGCCACGAGAAACTCCAATCAGGCTCCTATAGAGGACTTTTCATTACATCACTTTTTTGGCGCCTTCCCGGTGTCCACCCAAAGGTCACCCAAAAGACAAGTCCGTGTCCTACGGTAAAATGTGCTTGGGTGGCAAAAAGAGAATCAAATGTGTTGTTCGGTGTACGGTTGAAAATGATGTTGCAGGCCGTCGCAGTGGTGAAGCACTTTTGCTTTTCTTTGATGTGGTGAATAGTTTCGGTAAGTCGCGAGGATTACTAGCCGTAGTTACTCTACTGTTTATTCCAGCCTTGAAGAGGCGTTGCCGCGAGAAGATTGACAGAATCCGTGGGCCCAGTACATTGATCCATATTTACCTATGGACGAAGACCTTTCAGCCAATCCCCCTGCGTTGGGTATCCAGGCCTCTCTAAATATTTAGTGAATGTCCCCAGCACATATGCAAAGGACTCTCTAAAGTCTTACAATAGCCCTGATGGATACAAATGCATGTGTCTCATTGCTGGCTGGGTTGGCACATTATCGTGTCTTGCCCAATCGAAGGAAGAAACAACATCTGTCAACAAAATACGTTTGCAAACGTCAGGCACTCGCGGAGTGTTTTTGCCGAACCTGTCCATCCTTGGGTAGCTGCTGAATTACCTGGAATTGTTCTTGGCGCACACTGCACTTGCATGGTGGGCCTGGGAGAAGCATGTTCCCATGTTGCTGCAGTGCAGTGTTGTTTGACTGAATTTACGTTGGAGACTGAAATGTGATGTGTGCTGAATGTCAACACCTACACCACTGGGTCACTCACCAGTGGCTGGCACCGTCAATGAACACTACACGAAAATAGTGTACATGGATTTTACTTCAGCTGGGCAGAAATTGGAGCACCGTGCCCAGGTCGTAGTCACTCTGTCAGCATCCAGTTTTCCATCGATGGTCAACTCTACCCCCGCTCATCATCGCGCAGGGCTGGCGAGTCACTGTCTGTTAGTGACCTGGAGTATGCTGATGATGCCGTTCTCGTGTCTGAATGCCGTAGTGATGCTGAGTTTGGTGTGGAGCTCTTCTGTAGTGTTGCCCGAGAATTTGGACTAACTGTGAGCATCGCCAAGACGAAGATCATGACGGCGGGCCATGGGGTCTCTGCTGAAGACTCGGCTGACATCGTTCTCCCCCTTGGCACTATCGAAGCCGTGCCGAAGTTCACCTACCTAGGATCCATAGTGACCCCTGACAGTCGTTCTTCATCCGACATCAAGCGCCGTATTGCCGAAGCCTCAAAGGCCTTCGGAGCCCTCCAGAAGGTATTCACTGACAGATCTCTGTCCCTCTCTAGTAAACGCCACCTGTACATGGCCTGCGTTTCCTCAATATTACTGTATGGCGGAGAGTGTTGGACCCCACTCCAACGGGATATCAGAAGTTTGGATAAATTCCACCATCAATGCATCCGGACTGTCCTCAGCATCACCAAGCCTCGTCAGTGGTCCGAGCGGCTGTCATCCACAGACCTGCGGAACCGTTGGGGAGACCCAGTACTGATGTCTACACGCCTCCGCAATCGGCGTCTGGAATGGACTGGGCACGTTGCGCGTATGGATGAGGATCGCACCCCCCTCCAACTCCTCTTTGGGTGGCTACCTGTGCCTCGGCCGTTTTGTGGTCCCCAGCGACGGTGGAAAGACACGGTGATGACCGACCTCAAGGTTGCACTGCAACAGCCATCTCAGTGGTTCATCCTTGCTCAGGACCGCCAACAGTGGAGGGAAGTACGGGTTGCCCCTCAGTCGAGCTCCACCATGCCCAAGTCTGTGCATTGCGCAGTGTGTGACCGGAACTTCTCACGGGTCTCAGATAGAACGCGGCACAAGTGCACCACTCAGAGACGGCTTCCCATCCAGCTCCAGCGTGGATCAGTGCAATGCCAGAACTGCCAGAGGTGGTTCCGCAGCAAGGGTGGCTACTCTGTTCATCGATGCCAGCCTGTCACGAGTTCTCCTACACCAACAGTCAGTCTGTCTGTGCCACTTTCAGCTTGTTGCCAGCAGCACTGCCCAACATGTCAGCGATGCTTCCGTTCTGCGGCCGGGTTCAAGCGTCACAACTGCAATCGTGGTGCAAGACCATCTGCTGCTGAGAGAGCAGCTCTGCCCCTCAGCTGCCCACGTTGTAAACGCAATTTCCGCCGGCAGCAGGACCTAGCCAGACATTCGCGGTCCTGCTTGTGATCCGTGTCCCGTTTTCTGGTCCCCTTTCCATAGGGGTGACACTTGCCCCTCTGGGCAGTCATGCTGCTAGTAGTAGTATTAGTAGTAGTGTGTGTGTGTGTGTGTGTGTGTGTGTGTGTGTGTGTGTGTGTGTGCGTGCGTGCGTGTGTGGGTTTTTCTTCCTTATCAGTACGAGTATGACAAAGTTGACATGCGGTGGCTGGTAGCACGAAAACTGACAAAGTCAAACACTGCCATCATCATCATGCTCCTATGTAGCCAAAAAGTTGGTGTAGTGGCGAACTTAGTTGTCCTGATCTTAAAACACGCTGATGAATGCACATCCAATACAGCAATTGTTTTTTCCTGGCCGTCCCTCGACCTGGCATTCTCCATAAGCAGTTGCTGATTACCGGTAGAGTGTCCTCCATTACTGCCTTTGCAAGAGTTACACAAGAAGTAAGATCAAGATGATCCTCACCACAAGAAGATCAAGAAGCTGAATACATGTACCTAATTGACCAGAAAGACAGAAGATGAGGTATACTAGTATGTGCCGCAGCAGATGAAGAACTGCACAGCGCAGCAACCAAGTGGGAAGCAGAAGAAGATTGCGCAAGTAGGTCGATCAGAGTATTTATCCATGACAAAGGAAATACACGTTGTGCAGAACATGAGGCATACACACTGGCATGGAAGAGATGATGAGTTGCACCCAGGGCCAGTACTAGAATAGCTAGCACCACCAGTCATGTAGAGGTACGTGCATAGAGCTGGGTACATTAGTCATTACCATCAGCATCAGCCCTATCAATCATCAAACTCCAGCTATACCTTGCACCCCAACAAACTAAGTAAGTTGATAGTGTTCGGAATCATCTTCGTGTTTCCGCCTTTACTGGTGCTGCCAAAAATGAGCTGAACAAGTTGGTTAGTTAGTTCGATACGTACTGGGGTGACAGGGGATGATCATGACTTTTCTCTTCGCCAATGAAGCGATGGAACAATATTCGTGTACTTCGAAGTATTTGCATCAGGAGCGAAGTTCTCGAGTCGTGTGTCCGTCATCCACTGGTTCCGTCGTTCTCCATCGTAGGGAAAACGATAACAACTCAAAGACGATCCAGGTGTGGGAACATCCGATCGCGAGCAGCCCTTTGGTATTCTCAAACTACAGTATGCAAAATGGAACTTCTTTCGAAAAACACTGTTTCCTTCCAGTGCAGTCTTCTTTTTTTGCCACCCAAGCTCCGTTTCAAGTCCGGTGATCGGTGGTGAACTCGATTATCTTTGGCCCGAATCCTCATAGTCCGCACGGTATGACTCATTGGAAAGTCCTCTATATCCTCTGCCTTCTTGATTGAATGTCCACTTCGTTTGAACAGCGAACACAACAATCGAGGACAGCTTTGCAATGAAAAATACAGTTATACTGTAGCTGAAAAAAGAAGAAAAAACGTGCTCAGGATGAGACTCGAGTGCACGCGTACTCTCCCAGCAGGTTCTGTGGATGTCGCTCATAGATGTGTAATTTCGCGTGACGCTTGTGTACGGCCACTGTCCAGTGACTAAAATTGTCTTAGCAACCTCCTCCGCTCATGACTACACAGTGAAACCTAGTTTAAAAGCGACCACCCCACGGTGCAAGCAAAAGCGGTCGTTAACCCTTTGGAGTCCATGGTTCGATTTCGAACCATGGGCATTTTGTGTGCATGTGGGCGCAGTCAAACTTTCGGTTCTCGGCCAAATCTTGACCAAATTCAACAATCAAAGGGTCTAGATGGTAGAGAAAGCTCTCAGCTATCGCCTCAAACAGGTCCGAAGTCCCTGTGATGAAGTTTGAGCGAGCGGCAAGAGATCAAACAGTTCGAAATTTCTGCGCTGCGTGCTGCGAGTCAGCAGTGCGTGAAAAAAAGGGATTTTCCCAGCTTCATGACAGGCCAGTACCAGGACCGGCGCGGCGCGAAGTCACGGCAAGGTAAGCTTCTACTCGAAAAAAATTGAACAGTTCCGAGCTAGATTCAGTGAAATGGCTACAGCCTAGGGAGACCGATTTCGTCTCAGATCTGGAGCTGGACCCCCGTTTGGGCCGCGTTGTGGCGGACAATGAATAGTTCTCTTGGCGAGTTTAGGCTCATTGTATTCCTCTCATCAAGAGCTTTCCAACGAGCCCAAGATCTTCAAAATCGGTGAAGTAGAACCAAAGTAATGTTGAAAATTGAGTGCGCATTTTCGTGACTGCCACAAATTCTGCGGAAGCAAAAAAGTTACGGACTCCAAAGGGTTAAAGCCAGGTGGTCTTTAGAACCAGGTCCCACAGTGTCTGTGTAGAACTGTCGGTGCATGGAAAAACGGTCGTTAAGAGCAGGTGGTCGCTAAACCCAGAGGTGACTTCCACCAGGTGTTACTGTACTTGATCCCATTGTGCTTGGTACACCCCCACCCCCCCCCCCCCCCCCCCCCTCTCTGTCTCTCTGTCTGTCTCTCCCCCCCCCTCTCTCTCTCTCTCTCTCTCTCTCTCTCTCTCTCTCTCTCTCTCTCTCTCTCTCTCTCTCTCTCTCTCTCTCTCTCTCTCTCTCTCTTGCTCTCTTGCTCTCTTGCTCTCTCGCTCTGTCTTCTTTCAGAACTTTAATCGAGTGTCCCAACACCAGTGTAAAACCTCCTTTCCATTGTCCGACCATATACTGCTTTTCTTGCATCAGAGACTTTCTTCTTTCTTTTTTCATGCTCAATGTGTATATGTGTGCGCGCTTATGTGCCTGTTGTTGTGAGCAGGATTCCGATGGGCAACCCCACATCACAACTGCGTCTGCTCACGCACAGCGCCTCGGGCATAGCGTCTCCAGCAGTGGGCCAGACGCTGCGAGACCGACCGTTCAGGCAGGACGAAGGAGGGTTCTGCTTCATGGCTCTCTCTGGCGGTGGTGTGAACACTGACGACGCGTCGGCGGTGCTTTTCGAAACCATCGACGATGTGGACGATGGCGCGGTGTTGGTGGCCGCTCGCCCACGCAGCACCAGCTTTAAGGACAATGTTTCCGCCAGGTCTGGCACATCCAGGTCGACGTCCAGCCTCCAGCGCAGCTCCACCGACAGCAACGACGGGAACACCAGCGCTGACGACCACCGGGAAATGTGCATGCACTCCGTCCTAGAAGAGGACAACGTTTCGACGCTGGGTGTCCTCAAGCGGATGGCTACAACTCCGCGCCTGCAACGCCAAATGGCCGTTTCCAGCTCGCACAGTATCTGGTCCACTGACAGTAATAAGTCCCCCTACGCAGATAGCAATCAAAATCACAGAGCCGGTCCCATACATAAGCGAGCCAGCACGATATCTTCCGGCTCTACCAGCAGGACAGAGTATAATGACAAGCAGCAGCAGCAGAACAGGAAATTCTCCGTATCAAAGCAGTGGTCACTGGATGTGGGGAGGCGAATGTCAGCGAAATGGTCTTCAGCAAAGTCTTTTGAAGCAGAAGTGCCCAGTGAATACATGGAGGAGTGGTCGCCGGAAATTAGTCCCTCTAGCGCAGGGCCAGGCGAAAGCATCAGTGGTACAACATCCAAGAACATGAGTAATATTGGAATATTGCCGCAACCATCGACCAGCGTACCCGCTTCATTTGGGCTTGGACTACGAAATGACCAGTTTGAAGCTGAACAGAGCGACAGCAGAAGGCCATGTCCAGTTTCTGCAGCACCAATGGGCACCGCCGGCTTAAATGGATCTCCTATGCAGTCTCCGGGTTTGGCCATGCGAAAGGTGTCGTTACCGTCGATGTCCAACATACCTCCCCCAGCTAGCTACAACCCAAGGCCGGGATTATCCCGCGATGCCACTGTCGACTCTCTCCTCGAGCCACTAGACATTAATCGCACCCGGTCATTCGGTCTTTCGCGTAAGATCACATCTCAGCCGGCCATCTCCCCCACCTCTCTTGGGTCAATCTTTGGACGAATCCGGAGCATTTCGCCGGCGAGAGGTAGCTTTTCAAAGCAGGGAGCACCTGGCAGCCCGGTTTCGACTAGCATGCGTCCAAAGCGACTCGGCAGTTGGGGAGTTCAGAAAACGTTCTCTACGGCGCGTGTGCAGAGTGTGGGCGAGGAGAGCAGGCCACGCGTCAACTCTCTGCCACACGCGGTACACAGATCTGTGTCCAAACACAATGTGCCGCTACCTGCAATACCTACTGTGGTCAAAGACCCTGCTATCCAGGGGGCAGAGTCAGACTATGCGAGTGTAGGGGCAATGCGGCATCCACATATTCGAGCTCCATCCAATGCTCCCACGCCAAGACTGAAGCTCCAGCAGCCAACCAGACGAGCACGTACCGAGACTAAAAACTCTCCCGACATGGAGGCAGCGCGAAAACAGGCAGCCCACCGAATTCGCAGCCAATCACAGCTGCCTAACAGGCGGATACAGGTGGCTCCAGCGCAGAAGGCGCCAATGCAACCTCACTCCATGACATCCAGTACCACACTGGCACAAATGCAACCTCACTCCGTGATATCCAGCGGCGCACTGGCGCCTGATATGGCATCGTTTCGTCCCCGGTCCGCCACATCCACCAGTCAGGCAGGCTCAAAAATAGTAAGGCCACCGTCTTCCAACACACACTTATCCGGCTTTCCTGTCCCACCGTCCAAGAGCAGCGCTTGGGTGGTTGATTCATCGCAGCGATCACGCAGCAGCTCCGATTCCATGCGCAAATCACTGAGCACAGTGGACCGCCGTCCGAGCATGTCGAAAGACGCAGTACGGAAAAAGTTTGCACGGTTTAGAGCCAACACGCTTGACACCGGCCGAAAAGGAGAAACTGACACGTCCAAGGTAGACCAGAGTGCGGTGGAACAGGGCATGTACCGTGCTAGAAGCAACACCGTTGGCATCCACCACATGAAGCACCGCTCCCTTGATTGTGGAGGTATTGGTACCAGCGTGACAAGCTCGTACCACGGCAACTCTCCATACTTGTTGGGGACGCCACGACAATCTGTGTTGGGTTCAAGTGCTCCTCCATCTGAGGCTGACTTCTCCCCTTATGCCGACCCGCTAGATGTGATACCATGCGAAAGCGGTGGGAGATTGTCTGTTAACACCATGTCCACTCCAGGCCAAGTCGGCTCGCAGGAAAACTCATCTATCCCGTCCCCAGCCTGCTCAAGTGAAGAACACAGTGACGTGGCCGTAGAGGAAGGCACTGGTGACACATTAGCTGAAGCTGCTCACCGATTGACACTAACACAGGAATTGGAAGACCCGTATGCCTTCCCGCTGGATGCACCCATTTCATTGTTATCCAGGTCACCCGGCCGCACCTCCGTGACTCTGTCCGAAGCGTCGCCGCCAGCAATGCGTTCACGACGCAATGGTGAGGTCGAACCTCTGAGCAGGGTGCGGTCGCGGTCGCACAGTTCAACTCCAGATCGGATGCTGTCCCGCAAGTCATCTCAAGTGTCCTACAACTCTGAGGATTTGGACATGTTGTTGTCTGTGACAGAGGTGCCGGAAGAACTAATGTCACAATCTCAACGAAAGGGTTCGAGTCAGCCTGATTCATTCAAGTTTTCTATCACAGGGTTCCAATCCAGTGGCCTGCAAACTATTCAAGACACAACACCGTACACATCACCACGCCACTCATTAGTGCCCAGCCAGAGCTTTGACTATACGCCATATTCATCGGTCCTGTCCATCCATCCAGGCACGGGTTTGCTTCCTAACTCATCGCCATCCCTATCTGTAGGTGATGAGGACTCTGACACCAATCCATATGCTCAGCTGCGCACGGTCCTGTCCCAGCTGTCAAAGAATCGTTCACAAATTGCCCCCGACCTACCCGGGGAGTCAGGCATGCTGGCTGCACCAAACACTCCTGTGCCGGCAGCGAAATACCTGAGGTCCTCAGACAAGGACGTCTTTGAGGAGTCCATTTATGAACATCCAGTTATAGTTTCCGATGGGGCAACTTCAGCTGGGTTGAATCGACACCGCTCAATGCCAGACCTAAACGCAGCCAAGAGGGCAGCTGAGCGTAGAAACAGCTGGCCTGAAACAGCCGAAGCCGAGACACAGCGCCAGGCTGCACATACTGAGGTGAACGCATATGCCGCTCCCGTAGAAATGCTGTACAGGATATCCAAGATGGATGAAGTGCCGGCATTCTTGCAGGCCTTTCATCGCCACGCGAGCCTCATGGATGACTCTGTCCCAAGGATTCGCAGGAAGACTCAGCAGCGCTATTCACAAGCCAGTGGCATGGCCACGCCATACACTACATTGAGCGATGATTCAGCAGAATCGTCGCCCGTTTCCGCCAGGAAATGCTCGCCTGTGCTCGAGTGAGCTGGCTTCTGTCTGCGATGATTGAGCAGTACCAGCCACGCTGGTTCATGACTCTGTGTTGTACTGGAGTATAGCGACTTTTAATTTAAAGTGCGACAGCTGCAATCACGTTTCCACTACTTTCATCACCTGTGTTGTTCCCACAACAGGTGGTTCGTTTTGGCCGGTAGTGACAAGTTTCAGGCCTCCAATGACTCGCACTGTACAAAATGTCTCCCACCCCCACCACGAGAATGTGCTAGACACGGTCGACCTGTGAATTTCTCTAACCACGTCGTGTCAGACCTTACGCCTTTTTCTGGTGAAATGGAAATACTCTAGTCCGGAGACTGACATTTGGCCTCTTTTGAAGCCACTGGAAGCTCTTTTAGTTAGTGTCTTCAAGGCAATTTGATTTCCAATATATTCTACTCCCTTTCCCTTCCTCATTTTGCCCTTTCTCTTGCCTATAACCAATAACCACATTCCACTTTAGATGCCTTCTCATCTGCAAACCCCTTCCTGGCAAATTTGCTGTATTCAATCAATATTTTTTTGCTCTGGTCCCAACTAACTATCCAGCCTCACATCACTACACACTGGGCCTTCTTGATGTATTATTTTGCCGGAGTTGTAGTTTCACGACTCCCTGATGATTGATGTCCAGTCCACAATAAGCAATATCCAGAACTGAATCAAGCTACGCCCACTCATTATTCTCATTTTGGCGAAGTGTTTATATTTCTTCTTGACTACAGTTCACACACACATACACACCTTATCGTTATATTCAGCTCACAGCCATTCTGCGAGCGGTTTCACTGCTGAGTGCGCACGCACGGTCTTCATTAGCACTGCCAGCGCCCACTGCACACATTCACGGTATCCAGCTAGCCATGTAGAGCGCATATTTATCGGAATTCGCAGCTCGCCTTGTTCCTTACTTTCTTATTCTGTGCATGATAGAGGATTATTTCTTAGGTTGCGCCGTGTATATCTTGTTTGTCCTGATCTTTAGGCCTGAGTTTGTTTGAATAGCTTGGTTGTTTTCATTTTTCCCTGTCATAATGGTCGGTGTTTCTACTGCCGATTGTTTCTGCTCCTAATTACTTCTATTTCTGGTGGTCTGTTCCTTTTTCTCAACTCTTTTCACTGTCGACATGTCTGTCTTCCAGCAAGGTATTAATTGAATGTGTAACCTTGCCATAACATTATCAAGTTGAAATGAACTCTTCTTTCCTTGATCACACATTGCCCTGATCCCAATCTGCTGCTGCTGCTGCTGCTGCTGCTGCTGCTGCTGCTGCTGCTGGTATCTGGGGAGTAACTCCCCACCGATTCATGGGAGACATATAGTCTAGAAGACAAGTTGTGGATTAGAGAATCCCTAAAAGTGTGAAACTCCTGCCTACGGTGTGCAATTCCGAGTGCACCCCATTGGGTGGATTCTTATTGCTAAGATACCAATGTCAATCACTCCACACATGCATGGTGTACAGCATAAGTGGCAGCACCATGCATTGCTCCATTGTCTACAGCATACCTAGACTACCAGTTGATGTGTACAATGTGCATTGATCTCTTCTCGTGATTGGCTTAGCACTTCTCAGTGTTAGTCGCAGTGTGCCTGGTGGCCCGTGGGGCTCATATCCCCTTCATTCTACGCTATTCCGTTTGTGTTAGTTTGTCACACATGTGGGAGTAATGTGTTATTTGAGCGTAGATCTACACACCCTGCGTCAACTCACCTTGTGTAGTAAACTACATGTATGATAGCATTCTAACCGGTTATCGTTCCGAATGGTGTTGCTGCTGCTGCTGCTGCTGTTGTTGTTGTTGTTGTTGTTGTTGTTGTTGTTGTTGTTGTTGTTGTTGTTGTTGTTGTTGTGTATTTATTAGGGGGAGAGTCTAGCACTTAGGGCCCTTGAAGTTAGGGGGAGAGTCGGGTAGTTGGGGGGCTGGGGAGTCGGGCAGTTAGGGGGAGAGTCGAGCAGTTAGGGGGAGAGTCGGGTAGTTAGGGGGAGAGTCGAGTAGTTAGGGGGAGAGTCGGGTAGTTAGAGAGAGAGTCGGGTAGTTAGGGGGAGAGTCGGGTAGTTATGCAGCAAGAAGGACCCATGAGTGTGTGCGATCCCCGGTAGCCTAATCGGTAGGGCACTGTCCCGGGAAGACAGGGGTGCTGGGCTCGAATCCCGCTCGTGGATCCTTCTTTTGCAACAGTTATAGGGGGAGAGTCGGGTAGTTATAGGGCCTAGGGGGAGAGTCGGGTAGTTATAGGGCCTACAGTCCATTCATAAAAAGATGGGTCCTGGCTCTGGCGAGCTCCCGTATTTGGCGATTTTTCGTGATTTCATCGTACACAGTGCAGTGCTGCGAACTTTGAAATTTGAAAAAGGGTCCAAAAAGGGTGCCTGAACTGGGGTTCGAACCGCAGAATGCACTGTTGCAGGCGGGGTCAAACGGCCTGGATTTTGATGGTTTTTCCCAATTCAGTGCTTTTGGGGCAAAACCTGGCCGAAATCCTATTCTTGCTATGGCTTGCTTTTTGGACAAAAAAACTTCAGAAACATAATTGGAAGAGGATTCCATATGGGATTGCAGAAAAAAATTCTAAAAAAACTCAACGTTTGACCCATTTATGGCCAAAAGCTAGAAGTTCATTTATTTCTGAATGGACTGTAGGGGGAGAGTAAGCACCGGCGGATGATACAGGCATAATTCTTGGCAAAATTTGGTGGTTGAAAATTTGGAGCATAATTTGGCATCCTTTGGGAGGTAGGAGCATAACTAACATCGGATTGTCCTACAGTTCTAGTATGTAGGCTACATGTACGTAATTGTGTACAATGCATATGATTATGTAGTACTGGTGGTCAGCATGGTAAAGCCTGGGTTCGGAGGTCATGCAGATAGTGTTTTCAATGAAAAGCAGGGTAGAAAATTCATGGCAATACATTACAGCAAGAGTACATAACCCCCATGTACTCTTGATTACAGTATGCTCCAACTCGTCTTCTTCAAAGTTCTTTCTCACACTGATACAGTACATGGTCATGGAGCAGAAGATGCGAGTGAATCAGCCTTTATCAGATATCCCGGGGCGAACGAGATAGCGACGGGTAGTCCGCAAAACGCCGCGTACATGTACATTATGCATGTTACCAAGAGTACATAAACATGTACTCTTGATGTTACGAAGTCATGACCTCTGGACTTTAGCAGCCATGACTGTGCAGGCTATGGATATTGCTCTAATAATTAAACAAATTTAGGTATAGTTGATGTTCGGTCATGATGGAAGTAGAGGTGGAGCTACGGGAGAGATGGGCTGATTAATCGCAGGGTGAGGTTGACATCGGTTGGACGAGTATGACGATTGCAAAGGCAGTTGAACTGCGATGATAATTTTCAAAGGTAACTCTAACCCATTTGGCAATGAAAAATCGTTTTACAAAAGAAGTCAACTAATGAATAGAAGAAGTAATGTTTTCTCTTTTCCATGTTGATCTCTAGCATGCATGGACACCTTGGTATGGGGATACTCATGTGTTTTGTCGTACTTGTGGCCACTTGCAAGTACGGAAAAGGCATCATTTTCCGAACTTTGAGGCTCCATAAGTACAACAAAATGGATATGTATCCCCGCGTGCCAATGCATAATATGAGGATTTTGCGAGCATAATGCGAGAATCCATGAAAGCATAATTCCATGATTTCGCGAGCATAATTCGCCGGATCGCGGAGCCTAGGGGAGAGTCGGGTAGTTAGGAGAGAGTCTGGTAGTTAGGGGGAGAGTCAGGTAGTTAGGGGAGAGTCAGGTAGTTAGGGGGATAATCGGGCAGTTAGGGGGAGAGTCGGGTAGTAAGGGGGGAATGGGGCAGCAAGGGGGGGGGGGGAGGGTAGTTAGGGGGAGAGTCAGGTAGAACACTCAAGAGCTAGGTCGAGGAGCAACACTTCCGATGGTGCACTAAATGCTGGTGCGGTCGAAATTCCTGCGGCAATCGCACTGGAGCAGAAGCCCGGCCCTTTCCCACGCTGTCTTGTCCTTGGCGTGGACAGGCATTGTCTTTTCAAGCAATGGCTGTTTTTAATTCTCCAAACGATGACAACGAAAAATACGGTAGGGCTATTAAAAGCCAGTAAAGTTGTTACGTGTCTACAAAATCACACAAAGTCGTGTGCCGGTACAATACATGGCGGTGCACCTCATGGCTTTAGCCGATTGTTGCCAAAACCTGAAATTTGCCGATAATTATCCACTATGAAACTCGTTATGCCGCTCAAACCTCACATAATACTCGTCTTGTTCCTTTCTAATGCTCCATAATGCTCTAATGCTCGGATAGTCTCATAATGCCGAATATAATGCCGGCATTATCCGCTGGACCCTAGTCCGCGTGAGGGACAACAATACGAACTTCGAAGTCTAGAAGACACGTAGGATTTCGATCTAAGGATAGTACTGAGCTACAGCTCTCCCGCCTAGTGCATGCGATTTCCGCCAGCCGAGATGCCGGTCAGGCAGTGTCAGCATGCTTCTTTGACTTATCAAAGGCTTTTGACCGAGTCTGGCATGCTGGCCTCCTGGCCAAACTCGAGCACCTTGGTGTCCGTGGCATTTCCCTTACCTGGCTCACAAGCTACCTGACTCGCCGCCGACAACGCGTCAAGGTTGGCTCCGCTTTGTCATCATGGAAATCCATTTCAGCTGGAGTACCCCAGGGCTCTGTCCTGGGGCCTCTTCTTTTCCTGGTGTACACGATCGACCTCCCCCCAGCATGTACAAACTCCCACACCAAATGCAGCCAGTTCGCCGATGACACGGCACTCATCGCGACGCATTACACGAGGGATTTGTCAGCTGCATTCCTCCAACGTGCCGTGGACGCAGCAGGACGATGGTTGAAGGATTGGCATCTCCTCGTCAACACCACAAAAACCGTCGTCCTTTCCTTCCAACCCCAACACACCATTCACATCACGCTCCACTCGACTCAGCTGCAGCAGGTCCACCAACATAGGCACCTTGGTGTTACACTCCAAGACGATATGCGATGGACCCAACACATCATAGAAACCACCAACAAAGCCAAAAAACTACTACACCAACTCCATAAGACACGTGGCACAATGAACGCTTCCAGCCTATTGTTAATATACACGACCTACATCCGACCCGTTCTCGAATATGGCAGCCTTTCCCTCTCCAACACCACACAGCAACAGCGAGACACACTGGAGAGAATTCAACACCGTGCTATACGCATCTGCCTTCGGATTCCCCTCTTTGCACCAGTTCACCACAGTTCCCTCCTCCATCATGCAAAGCTCCCCACCCTTAGCTCACAACTCCTTGTTAAACAAGTCCTACTAGCATGGGACATCCACCACCAAACCTCCCCACCACACCTGCAACAACCACATCTTGCACCACAACGTCAACACCAACCATACATCCTTCGACAGACAAGGACCTACTCCATCGGACACGCACACACAAACAGGCACCGAGATTCCCCCATCAACAGTGCCCTCACCCTCTACAACTCACTCCCTATCGACATCACAACCCAACCTCGTAGAAATTCTTTCCGAAACAATGCATCCAGTCTTCTTTTGAGCAGTACCTGTTCCTGCTCCGCGCATCCCCCTGGTTTCTGATATCTCGAACGTGTACTTAACTATCTCGATCACCCCTGCTAACGTTATTGCCCCCGCTTGTTTTTCACGATGCATTGCTTCTTGCCTCCCCGGTTAATTTCCATCTAGCTGTTACTGGCTAGTAGCAGTTCTATCGCACTTATCAATCGTCCTTATTGGCGTCACGCCATCGTGGAATAAAAGAATAATAATAATAATACGGATCTAACGCCTTCTCCTCCTCCCTCAAGCCAAGGCTTCGCAGCGTGAAGCCCCAGGTAGCAGCATGAGTCAGAGTCGCTCATGGAGTTGTGCTAAACAGCCGTTGAGACGAGGTGTTTGTCGCGCCGGAAACGAAGCGTCTCTGTAAGGTTGTATCCCTGGTGATGGTTTGGCCTGGAGAGCAGTATAATTATAAGTGGTGCTTTCTAGGCACAATCTTCCTCAGCCTACTCAAGCTCAACTGATGAGCGGTGGATTCCCCGAAACACTGTGTATTGTGCTATTGAGCAGGGAGTGGTGCTTTCTTGCAGGTTTGCCGAGTGGAAGGTGCGACGTGCTCCTCGTGTGCTCCAGATGGCAGTCGTGAGTCAGTCAAGTGTCAAGTTCGGCAAGAAGCGTGTGTTCCTCTTTGGAACAACCAACTTCATGACTAATACCACCGAAGTCGCAACTTCTAAGTTCCGGCATATTACATGTACTAGAATCCAGAATATCTGGAACTTGCCACTGCCGGTGTGGTCTGAGCAATTCTGCAATTTCCTGGTAGTTTCGAGGTGGTATGTCACCGGATTACCTTCCCTACTCGTCACTGTCAGAAACCACTTTTGCCAGTGTCACTTCGGACTTGCTGAATATTGCATGCCGCAAGTAACAAACGGTCAGTTTCCTGAACGAAAAGTGTGAAAGTTCTTCGCAATCCAGCTCTCAAACGAGTTTGTTGTCATGGTTGAGCAGATACCATGGATACAGTCATGCAGATAGGTGTGTGTGCTTTCCAAAAAGAGTACATAAACCGGTTCATGTACTCGAGTACTCTTGGGGGGTCATGTACTCTTGGTAGTACATGTATCAAGAGTACATGACTAAAAAAATTTAACAGTATAATTAACAGCCTCTTTTACGGGCAAAATTAAAATTAAAAGCAACACAATGATGAGAAAACAAGAGGGGTAAACACAATACATGTAACTTTATCAAAGCTGTTGACTCGCGCATACACACATACACACACACACACACACACACACACACACACACACACACACGCACACGCACACAAGATAACAATGATACTCAGTACTTAAACTGCAGAAGTTGCAAAGAAAGTTAAATCAATGCAGCTTCCGCGTTTGCGAGGACAGCAGACTGATCATTGACGCGGCGCATCCGCCGGGCACCGCGAGGCAGGCAACACTGGCACGCAGGAGACCAAAACCAAGACGACAACGCAGCAACGCCATCACCATTGCGTATGGCTCTCCGGTTTTCTCTGCAGACAGAGCAGCAATTCGCTTGAGAAGAGCGGAAGCAGCTCGATCGGCTCCACCTGTGGCTGAGAATACGACAGGTACGAATGAGGCTCGCTCAACTTCTTGCACCCTCTGCCCTGCGACGCTTCTCGCGCTTATGGCTCTGGTAGCGAGCAGCGAGAGAAGAGGAACGGTTCGAACGAGCGAATGGGTTAAACACCCGTACATCAAGATAAACGCGTTCAAACCGTCCTCCCCACACGCCACTCGCCGCCACATCCAGACGGGCCTGATCCTCGGTGGACGCCGTCCGGTAGCGGAAAAGCTCGCCGGTGAGGGGTCGGAGATGAGGCTCTACTTCTACGCTGTGTGCCACCTTCTTCAGTTGGCCAGCGATGATGTCCCGTACCTCATTGTGGCGGAGCGTCAGGAAACCACCGGTGGGGCAAGAGAGAGCATGCTCAACAGAGAAGGTGGCACCACAGACACAAGTAGAAGGGAGCCGTGCCGGGTGCCAGCCATACCGCAATGCCAGACCATCGCGAAATTCACACATGACTCAAATACTCAGAAACCATCAAGAGTTCGAGTACATACGTACATCATCCCAGGTCAGCTGATGCAGGTCAAACTTTTCCCAAAATTTGGAGTATGAACTGTGCTAATCGTACTACAATGTAGGATGGCATTGATGGTTGTACCGGTACATGCACCCTGGCTGAGTACGCCTCTCAGCCCCAGGCAGCTTATGCTGCACCATACTTCACCTTCGGCCTATCAGCATCAGGGTTCCCTGTAAAAAGACAGCAACGTCTGTAGGGATTTCCCTAATAGGCGATTCACACGACAGGCAAATCCACGTTTGTCAGGTGCCCGCAGGAAGTGAAACGTGAGGCTGCAGTTCACATTATTAGACACCCTTAGCAAAAAACGTTATGTTGTAACGGTATTATCGTAAGGGGGAAAATACCGTGATTTGGGTTCGACCTTTAGCAAGATGCACTCTATTTTTAGTACGCTGTTGCCACGAGAATAGCTTTGATTTCGCGAGGTACAACCATTTTTGTCACCATATACGCGATACAAGGTGAAATGCGTACGGACTATGCAATATTTGGCTAAAACACGTACCGTTGGTCACAACGATAAATCAGCCCCCATAACGTTTATACGCTGCAGCTTCAACGCTATTTGGGTGATCAAGGTACGAGTACCGTAAAAAATAGCGTTACGGTTGTTTGCTAAGGGTGTCTATTACCGGTATTATTACACGGCCGCGGGTGGCGGCCAGAGCTCCCGCGAGTATCCGGTGAGTATACGGCGTTACTGTGGTGATTTGGAATGAGTACCCAAAGACGAAGGTCAAACAACCAGGGTTCAAGACTACCGTACGATAGTACGACCTCACAGCCTCATAACTGTTGTATTTAACTCCTCATTGTTTTTTTACCAGGCGTGGGCCATCCCCTGACTTCATAGGTGCCTCATAACTGTAAAAGTGCCCGCAGATGAGTGCATCCGCGGTAGTGCTGACCCGAATTTGCCAGCTGAATCTCGATATTTTGCGGCATAATTTTGCTCGTGCATCGTCGAAATTTTGCTTTCATTTTGCTAGGCCACTCGATATTTTGCTCCCTTTTTGCTCCAAAATTTGTGTCACGTGTGAAAAAACTGACCGAAAGTGGGTTACGTGTTGGCAAAAATGAGAAAAAGTGAGTCACGTGTTGGTAAAATTGTGCCGAAATGAGTCATGTGCACCGTATATGTGTAAAATCTCCCAATTCCCAGCCAACACACCGATATTTTGCTCCATTTTGCCAGCAAATTCCCTTTCAAAATTCTTCGATATTTTGCTAGAAGAATTGCTAGCAAATTCGGGTCAGCACTAATCCGCGGGCAAAAAGGCCATGGACACTTTTGATTCCCGCGGGCAAATTTTGGTCATCCGCAGGAATATCTCCATGGTGACTTTCCTGTAAACGTGGATTTGCCTGTCGTGTGAATCGCCTATAACAAAATAATAAATACTACTACCGTAAAGTACCGTTGATCCGCCCCCACGCCATGTCGCTTCCCAGCTGGGTTTTCGGCAGGGGGCGGGAATTAGATCAAGGCTGTCAAGTGCAGTACGATGTACAACAACGTAGAGGATCAGTCTCAATGTGCTGGATTGTGCACATTTTGATCCTGGATTGGCAAGTATTGTGTACAGCAGTGTATGCGTCGGTTCAACATCGTATTTCGTTGTATACGCCGAAGTCGCTTCACAAGGAGAAAATCGACAGGGGGCGGGAATTAGAGAGGGGGCGGATCAACGGTACTTTACGGTACTACCACTACTACTACTACTACTACTGACCAAACCACTTTTACGGGCAAAAAATACCATGGTAAGCACACAAGTGATGGAAAAGAGTGAGTAAGAACGAAAGAGAGAAAGAAAGAGAGAATGCACTAGTATGTCAAGAGAAGTAATCAATTACTACTACTATTACTACTACTACTACTACTACTTGGAAGCGTGTTTTTATTGACCACATAAAATGATGATGCAAAGAAAGAAAAGAACATCGGAAACATAATGCTGGATTTGAAAGAAGAAGAGAAAAAGGAAGATTAAAAGAAACCTGACCAAGAGAACTCAAGCATTGCACCCAGGAGGCAAAAATGAACTCAATCCCTAGCATAGGCTCAATGAGGTCGTGTAATTGCACGAATTTCAACGGATCCAAGTAAAACTCCAACCAACAAGTGCTACTAGTACTACTACTACTACTACTACTACTACTACTACTACTACTACTACTACTACTACTACTACTACTACTACTACTACTACTACTACTACTACTACTACTACTACTACTACTACTACTACTACTACTACTACTACTACTACTACTACTACTACTACTACTACTACTAGCATCAAGAGTACATAAACTCTTGCTAGCATCGATGGAGTTTCCTGGCACGTACGATCCCCAAGAGTAAAAGTTATGTACTACAAATACTCTTGATATCCCCAAGACCATCTTGATATCTGGATGGGCCATGTAATAATTATGGTAATGGGCCGGGCAGGCCGCGGTGGTTCCAAATAAAGTGGCCTGCCATTAATGTGTATGTAGTTCCCACCTTTGCCAAAACGATGCAACAATACATGTTAGCACTGTCCTGCCAGCTCTTGCATGTGTGCCAGCAAGGGAGTTACGTCAAATATTGCTAATTTTGCCTGACTCCCTCATGCCAACGCCCCCAAAACGGGCCAGCTACTCGTCCGGGAATGGGTACGTGCACTCCTTATGGAATTTGGGGTCAATCAGGGAGTCGTCAAATACCGTATGTATTTGACAACTTCATGGGCCGTCAGCCGTATGGCCCTACTATGGGGTCAAAATCATGCTCAAATACTCAGAAACAGTGGAGGCACGTGGACCGCGCCGTGCAGTACAACTGCATGCCATGAGCTAGCTGTGAGATGCCTTGCACAAACTCCAAGTTTGATCTTTCCCAAGCACCTGTAACCCGTTGATGTGAGCTTTGATCTTGTTTGGAACTCGGCAGCCGCATGCAATGTTTGCCTTACCTTGAAGAAACCGATGGTCGAAGCCGTTTAAAAACGTTCGGGTGTGTTAAGAACAAGAAGCTTGTAGTGCCGATTAATTATTGTTGATGCAATCGGCAGGTGTGTGAGAGCAAATGCATGCTTCAGTCGGGAGGACTCACATCATACAAACAAGGGAAGCTTGGCTGACTCAGAGAATGCTGATGGTGGTTGTGACGGTAACAGGATAGGAAAGGTGAGGCTCAGCTGCATGCAATCAATGCGACCAGTGTGTGCGTGTGTGTGTTTCAAAATGACAAGCGGCCGATTCGAAGGCGCCTGGGAGCGAAAGTTCTGCCTAACATGTGGCCTTGCCCAACCAACCAGTGACTGTCCGCCATGCAGACTGTTCGGTGCTGTGATTATTTGAATTTGCAAATCCTTGCAGCAAGGAGGATAACGAAACCGTTTGAGGGAAATGGTCACTGGCACAGGCCCCGGAGCAAGAGTGCAGTGAACACCTCCCGGCGCGGAGTGTCTAGGACATGCATATGCTGTGCAGCTGGCACTGACCTGGGTCGACCGAGGCTGATTTGAAATTGTCAGCCTGTCATTATCTTGACGATCATGCAGCGTTCCTTGCAGGAGTGATTACCAGGGTTTAGTACCAGGCGTCAATGCACCATACGTGTTTGCTTGTACCCACACTTGAGAGGAATCAAAAGCGTTTCTGCTGTAACTCTGAGTTTCACAGACAGCGACTTGACTACAATTTTCAGAATTTTCACTGTCACGAGCAACCACAACTCCCTGGAGTGTTTACTTGTGTTGGTTTGTAAACTGAGAAGAAGTAGCGACGACCCGGCCATTATGGAATCCAATACACCACACCACCACATTGCACTCTTGGCCGATCCAAACTCTGCACTCACATCACCATCACCACAGCGAGGACAATTCCGGTATATAGATTGATATTGACAATGACCCTCCAGACAGCTGTTTCGCTCCTGAGCTCATCAGTGGAGGCATAATGTTGAATGAAAGAATAATAAGAATAGACTGATCTTTATAGGGCTAAATTGGCGCTATTGCGCTCATTCTGCATAGAAACGTGGCATGCCCTAAGTGACAAAAGTGATAACAAGGTCGGGTGATAACGACACGCGCTCATGGCTGGGACAGGAACATGTAGCACGTGTGAAAGGGGGGGGGGGGGCAAAAAACAGCAGTCAGCCTAACACCAGAAAAGTTAGTTATTGCATGTGCCACAAAAACAAAGATGCTGCGGCTGACTGTACTTGTCCCATAGTGACGTGACGGGGAACGAACGACGAAGCGAACTGGCCGGCGCGGCAGACCCAAAGGCCCCTGGGGCAATCACTGTCCTGCCAGCCCGTCGCACACAGCCACACCACGCCGCCATACCCGTTGAACACGTACACTGATTTTTCCTGCGCCTTCAGTCAGCATCTTCCGCCGCAAAACAGCCCCTTTACACCCCAGCCCGGATGAGCGCGTGTCGTTATCACCTGACCTTGTTATCACCTTTGTCACTTAGGGTATGCCATGTTTCTATGCAGAATGAGCGCAATTGCGCCAATTTAGCCCTATAAAGATCAGTCTATTCTTATTATTCTTTCGTTCAACATCATGATGAGCTCAGGAGGAGCGAAACAGCTGTCTGGAGGGTCATTGTCAATATCAATCTATACACCGGAATTGTCCTCGCTGTGGTGATGGTGATGTGAGTGCAGAGTTTGGATCGGCCAAGAGCGCAATGTGGTGGTGTGGTGTATTGGTTTGAAAACTATCAAATTAATCTGGCAAAGTACCCAGTACTGTTGTAGGACACATAGAATAACATATAGAATAACATATAAATTCACGTTTCGCGTTCGACTCGCTGGAGGCCGAGTTTTCTGCATCCATAGGGACTCCACCACTCTATGTGGATCAAGGCGCAGATGCAGCTCCTAAAGCGGTGGGAGGTGAGTAGATCAGACCCACCACAAAGTGGTCAAAGACCGAGAATCCCATTCGCTGCATCCATGCGGGATACATATGGAAGTACGTTATACTGTGCGTATCGGTTATAGCGTGGTCGTGTAAAAGAATATACTGCCTACAAGAATGAACTCTCATGTTTTCATAATCAAAATATGGATTTCAAGTGCACATTTATTCTTACAAGCAATTTTATCCCATAGTAGAATGTATCGGTCCTAAGAATGGACTTTGTGTAGCGAGACATGCCAGATTAGTACGTGTATCGCCTGTAGTAATAACATCTGTCCAATTCCGTTCTGATCTGACTCTCGTTGCGTCGTAGTGCTGCAGATTCAACTGTTGTGGTCATGTAACTCATGTTGCATAGCCACGTGGGACTATGACCAGCCACATGCACAGAAGTACTGTGTTGCATGTACGATGATCTTCCTGCCCCTGAACACATGCATTTGACATGCCACACTTGATTTAGCGTGTGTAAGAAATATCGGAAATAAGAATAGAAAGTCGTTTTTCAAACACCCACGCTATAACCGATACCTACTATACCAGTACCGTTGATCCACGCCCTGTCGAATTTCTGAATGTGAAGCGACTTCGGCGTATACAATGAAATATGTTGTTGAACCGCCGCATGCACTGCTGTACGCAATACGTGCCGGTACACTACAGGATGAGACGGTGCACAATCCAGCATGCCAAGTCTGATCTTCTGCTTTGTTGTACATCGCACTGCACCTGAACGACTTGATCTAATTCCCGCCGCCTGCCGAAAAACCAGCTAGGAATCGACACTGGGAGGGAGGGGGGGGGGGGGAGGACGGATCAACACTGGGAGGGAGTGGGGGGGGGGGGATCAACACTGGGAGGGCGTGGTGGGGGGGGGGGGGGAGGACGGATCAACGGTACTATACGGTACTAGTATACCGAGCATTACATTAAAGAGCAATGAGTCCTGACATCAACTTGAAATTCTGCCGGGATGGAGCACGGATACATGAAATGGAGTTGCGCAGTTGTCTAAGGTCCTCAGGCTGCGTATGGTGCTCTATGTCCGGTGGACAGAGCCAGTAATACATATTCTTGACACGAGTTATGAGAAACAATCTGTCGACAAGGGTTTCGCTGTATTGTGTTTCCGGTTTTGGTAATCGAACAACTCAATACAGTACTGTTGGTGGCAGGAGAACTGGGGGTGAGCCTCGTAGCCTGGCATGACCTGAAAGCCAAACTCGCAGCAGCAGCAGCAGCAGCAGCAGCAGCAACAGCAGCAGCAACAGCACTGACACCAGCTGTCATGTACTGTAAAACCGGAAAGTCTAACGTTTTAACGACCAATTATTTTTCGTTATTTGAAAAAAAACGTTATCGCTAGATGTCTGTGT